GACTTGGCTCCCAGTAATTGAAAGCCTGCTAGGAGGGGAGGGACAACTCGCACCGAAATAAAGCAGGGACCGCCACGCCCGTAAGAAAATAAATCACAAAACAGCCCGGGCTGGAAGGGACCCGTACGGATCATCGAGTCCAACGCATGGCTCCCCGCAGGAACACTCAACAACCAGACCAAGAAGCACGGCGAGGAGCCGCCGCCCCAAAGCAAAGCCGCAGACAGGAGCGGCTCTCTCCGTCCGGGCGCCACCCCCCACCCCGATCCCCGCGCCCGGTACCGGGGATGGCGGAGCCGCCCTCCAGCGGCAGGCGGTGGTCGCGGTTGGTGCCGACGAGGAGGCAGTCGGGGCCGCGCAGGAGGTAGCGCAGCGCCTGGCACAGCTTGGCGTAGCTGAAGTGCTCGTCGAAGCCCACCAGCACGGCGCGCACCGCCGGCTCCAGCGGCGCCTGGGCCCAGTCTGCGGGCGCGGGGCCGGGCAGGTCGGCGGGGCCGGGCCCGAAGTGCGGGATCCCGGCGGCCTCCAGCTCGGCGGCGAGCGCGGGGCTGCCCAGCACGTAGGCGGAGGCGCCGGGCGGCAGGGCCTGGCGGAGGTAGCGGGCGGCGCAGAAGGCCGAGCCGAAAACGTGGCGGGGCTCGGCGGGCGGGAAGCCGAGGCGCCGCAGCTTCTCGGTGTAAGCGACCCGCGTGCGGCTGCTGTTGTTGGTCACGTAGCACAGCCGCTTGCCCGCCGCCGCCAAACGGCTCAGGGCTGTCGGCGCGCCGCTCAGCGCCGCCTCGCCGCGCCACAGCACGCCGTCGCAGTCGAACAGCAGCGTGTCGACGTTGGCCAGCACAGCCCGGGCCGTCTCGCCCTCCAGCCGCCGGCACTGCCGCCCGCCCGTCGCCGCCATGGCCGCCTCACCGCGCTTCGGAGCGATGCCCGCCCCCCCCCGCCGCTCCCATTGGCCGCGCTCCGCCCGGCCCTCGCTCCCATTGGACAGAACCGGCCTCCCGAACCTTTCCCCGCCTCTCCGCGCGGCCGCCTCCGTCCGCTCTTACTGGGCACCCTCCTTGCGGCCTCGCCCCCCACGCGCCGCGGTTGGCCGGCAGCGGGTGGTCATCCGAGCCCGTTGGGCGGCCCCGCCGCCTCGCCTAGTAACTCGTTAGGCTCAGGTTCATGGGGGCGCGGGGTCAAAGGTCAGCGGGGGGCACGCGGAGGCGCCGCCCGAAGGCCGTCGGACCGACAGCGCTCCCGGAACCCCCGTTCGGGGCCGCGTTCCCTGCCGAGCCCCTGTGGCCGCCGTCCCGCGGCACGCGGCCCGTTGTTATGACGACACGGCCGTAAAGCCGCCATCTTGGCGGTGCGGCGCGTTGCGACATGGAGGCCGCGGTGGCAACGAGCGCGGGGCCGGCGGCGCTTACGGCAGCCGCGGCCGAGGAGCGGGAGGGGGCGGCGGCCGCGGGCTCCGGGCCCGGCGCCGCGTCCGGCGCCTTCCTCGGCCTCCCGGCGCCTTTCGGCGAGGAAGGTACCGGAGGGGCCCGGGCGGAGTGGGGCCGGGGGGCGGCGGGGGCCCGGCCGTTACGGGCCCGGTAGGAGCACCCGCAGCTCCGGTTTGGGCGCGATCCCCGCGATATCCGAACCCGCCGACCGAATTTACGTTGCAGACGAGGATGACGTGCACAAGTGCGGGCGCTGCCAAGCGGAGTTCACCTCCCTGGAGGAGTTCGTGCAGCACAAGATCCAGAAGCGCTGCCAGCGCGGCCCGGAGCCGGCCCTGGGCCCCGAGGGACCGAAGGTGACAGCGGGTACCGGTGCCCGTCCCGAGGGCTGAGGGCAGCGCTGTGACTTCGGAGGGCTCTGCCCCTCCTGCTGACACCATCTCCGCCCCTACAGGTCGTTCCCGCGGTCGAGGAGTCCATAACCGTTGCTCATATCGTTGTTGAAGCATCCTCGATAGCAGAGGAGATCGGCAATGCATCAGCTATCGTAGGTGAGCGTGGTGCTGCCTTTGTGGCCCAGTGTTAGGGGGTGGTTCGCTTTTCCAGCATCCTTCCCTGTGTTGTCTGTGCTGTGGCCCATAAATGACATTTCTGTGTTATGCTCTCGGGGCTGGGCATTATTTTCAAGATGCAAAAGCCATCCTTAGATTTAAGCTTTCACTCCAAAATGTCTATTATAATATCAATAATACAAACTTTACAAAGACAAGCGTTCCGGGGTTAAAGCATCTGTTTTTTCCTTCCTTTCCTACCACTTGAAATTCTGGAGCAATACATTGATCCTAGGTAGGCATGTAAAGCTGCCTTTTGTACAGAACGGTCTGTGTCCTTTTCCCAGGTAGCGGGCACATAAAAGAAGTCATCGTGGCAGGAGACCACGTTTTTGAAAACCCAAATGGTCACGTTGATGGCGATGTCACTGAAGAACAAGGCAACCCCGATGATCAGGAGCAGGATATTGCCACAGAGCTGATAAAGGTTAAGCTTCTGGTCAACAAAGAAGGGCGGTATGTGTGTGAGCTGTGCCAGAAGACATTTAAAACAGTAAGTGTAACTTCTACGCTGTTTGGGTTAGCACTAAATTGAGGCTAGCTGTTATAGTAAGACAAGATTTGATAACGACATGCTTTTCTACAGTGTGATATACTTTGAGATTAGAACCTTTGAAAAAGAACACTTTTGCTCTTTATCACAGAAATGTTTAATTTGTTGAGACTTCTTTCAAAGTGTGATTTCTATCCCAGGCAAGCATCCTCAAAGCTCACATGATCACTCACAGCAGCAGAAAGGACTATGAATGTAAACTCTGTGGAACTTCCTTTAGGACAAAGGGGTCTCTGATTCGACACCATCGGCGTCATACTGGTAAGAGAACTTCAAATTGCCCCTTGTTGCTGGGGCGCACTGTGTGTTGTTATCCAGCATACTTTAGAATGGAGTTTATTGCTGCTTTCCATCTTCCACTGAGCTGAGTTGAGGCTGTTGAGTTCCCCAATGTCTGGGATGCTGGGAGGCAGTGCAGGGTTGTGAGATAAGCGTAATCTGCTTGCTGTAAGTAGTTGAAAGCACTCTTCTGTAAGTCCGTCACACAGAACTTAAACTGGCAGCTGTTGGTTTAATACTGTTATTTTGATTCTCGTCATTCCCAGATGAAAGACCTTACAAATGTAAAAAATGTGGGAAAAGCTTCCGGGAATCAGGAGCGTTGACTCGGCATCTGAAATCTCTGACACCTTGCACTGAAAAAATTCGCTTCAACATGAACAAGGAAATAGTAGTCAATAAAGATGATCTGCCCGCAGGTCAGTGATGCTGTGAATAACTGCCTTGTGTCTGATAAAACCAAGCATGCTCCTGGCATTTGAACTATACGTTGTTTTTCTTTTAAGAAACATTTTGCATTGATAGTCAGTTTCTCTTTTACACCAGAAAAAGTCCTTTTTTATATAGATGAAAACTATTAACCCAAAGTGCACATAGTTGATGCCAGGCTATAAAGAATGTTCGAGAATCCGTTACAAGGATGGTTTTAACAGGCACTTTGTATTCTAAAACACATTTATTGTGGGGTGCAGTAAACGGATGAGGGGTGGGCAGTACATCAGGTGATGCATTCTACTTTTCTTGAAGGATCCTGTAGTTCAAACTCAGAAACTGTTCCATCAATAGCGAGTGAATCCATTGAGACGTCACCTGTGATTCATCTAGTGACAGATGCAAAAGGCAACGTTCTTCATGAAGTCCATGTCCAAATGCAGGAGCTTCCTGTTGTAGATGCAAAATCTCTGGATGAAGATGTGAGTGTTATTTCTCTTGAATATCGTGTATTTTATGCAAGAAGTAGTTTGAAGGGTTTTACCCTTTTCTTAGGTGCTAAGTGTAAATCTGTGCAGTGAAAAATAAATGGATAATTAGCTCCTCTCTCATCTGAAAGCAAAGAAGGCAAACTCTGCTTTGACCTTGTTTGAGTGTGGAGCATACATTGAGATGCATAGGGTCCCTTACTGGATGATGCAAAATGTGAGAAGCTGTTTACATTGATCGTGCACTGCTGCAGGATGCTGACAGAAGCTAAAGCTTTTCCTTGAATGTTTTAAGAGTACAGATTGGTCTCATCTTCCCAGTTGAAGATCATTCTCTTTTTGATTTTTCATCCAAATATGTCAAAAGCAGCCTGTGCATTTGTTGTACCAAGTTTTGGACTATTTATTCCTCTAGCAGTCACATCCTAAGGAGCTGCCATGTGAGGGGGAAACAAACAGTGAGAATCTGCTAAGGCAGGCCATGAGGAATTCTGGCATTGTGATAGAGAGAGTTGCTGTGGAAGAAATGCAGAAGGCAGATGAGCCCGCTGTAGCTGTTACAGAAGAAATAAAAAATGAAGTGGTGGAAGCAGAAGAGGAGCCATGTGGGGAACAGCATGCTGAAGTAGAACCATCAGAGCCTGTATGTTTGCACTTTGTAGATTAATTTCTTAATCTTCTGTGCCTGCACTTGGTTATGAACAGTAGTGTAATCCTGACCACCCTGCACATTATCTTCCATGCACCTCTCCCTGTCCCTTTGTCTTTGTGCCAACTTTTATTGCATGCTTTTCATGCATGTTAGTGCAAGCTCCTGTTATCAATATCAGTCTTTTTTGGGGAGGGATGGGGGTGAAAGCTGGAATATTTAATTGGGAATTTAGTTACAAATAATTACAGAGCAGTAAAAAAGATATATACCGTGCCATTTTCTTTCCAATAGACAGATGCAGAAAGAACAAATGGCTACAGAAGTTACATTTGTCCTCACTGTACTGAAGCTTTCAGTGAAGCTGCTTCCCTTGAAACGCATATCAAAGGACATTTAGGTAAGGCTGTAACGCCCAGCTATCGTCTCAAATGCATCCTCTCTTACTCTCTCAAGATCTTGTGATCTTGAACACAATGTAGTTTTCACTGTTTCACATTCTTTGCTTTTAGACAAACCTCAGCCATACAAATTCTGTTGATGCTTAACACAAAACATGAAAAGTTCAGAGCAATGGTTTTTGTTATTCTTTTACACTTTGTTCTAGAGCTTAACAAAAAGGCTCCATGCTTCCGGACCTGCCTGGCATCTGCAGAAATAGAGTTTTGTGAAAAGTAATGACAGATTAATGACTGTTAATGACAGAAATGCTTTTCTCTCTCTAGATTACAAGCCTTTTAAGTGCGAAGAATGCGGCAAAGAGTTCACTAAGGGCTACCTGTTAAAAAAGCACCAGGAGGTGCACGTCAACGAACGGCGTTTCCGCTGCGGAGAGTGTGGCAAGCTCTACAAGACTATTGCACACGTCAAGGGGCATCGAAGGGTGCATTCTGATGAGAGACCGTATTCCTGTCCAAAGTGTGGCAAGCGGTACAAAACCAAGGTGTGTCTGCCTTGTGTCAGGCTCGCCCTGAGAGTTTCCTTCCCAGAGCTTGGGTTTGGGATAAGCTAGGAGGCTTCACTGCTGAACAAACAAATGCCAGCTCCTCTCCTCTTACAAGAGCAGAAGACACTTTTGTATCAGTAGGGACAAGAAAGGCAGTCTTAATTCCTAGTTCTGAGGAAACTGTTCCTTCACGTATGAAAACAAATAATACAAACATCTTTATCGTGCCTTAGGTGAGAAGTCCTCAAACACGCTGACTTTCACGTTGAAAGCTAAAACACTGCTTGCTTGATTTAGGCATTCCCTTTAACTGGTACTTCTCTCTCTACAGAACGCTCAGCAAGTTCACTTCCGTACGCATCTGGAGGACAAGCCTTACGTGTGCCAGTACTGCAGCCGGGGCTTTAGGGAAAAGGGCTCCCTGGTCCGCCACATCCGCCATCACACGGGGGAAAAGCCTTTCAAGTGTTACAAGTGCGGGCGAGGCTTCGCAGAGCACGGCACGCTCAACAGGCACTTAAAGACCAAAGGTGGGATGGCCAGGTTTATCTCTGTTGCAGTGAGGGCAGATGCACGTTTCTTCTGGGATCAGGTTTGGATGAGCTGATTCTTGGCAGAATGATGATGATTGTTCTGGGTGCAAAACATTCAGAGTGGTTCTAATGATCTTCATCAAAGGCCATTTATTTATCTGCATCTCTGTTGCATCAAAAGAGGGGATGCAGACTTGTTGGTTTTTTGTTATTTCCCAATCTACATTAATCAGTAATGAAGCATGGACCTCTTCTAAATCATTAATTGGCTTGGTGGGATTAAAGCCTGCTGATTGCTGGCCATTTGTCAGTGGTATCCTGTTAAAGGGGTCTCATTAGTATTGCATAGCATTTGCCAGGTATCCCCATATTTGTGTTGGTTATGTAAATTGTCTTTTTACGGCATTTTTGGAATTCCACTCAGGTGGCTGCCTTCTGGCTTTGAAAGAGGTGGAGGAAGTGATGGTGTCTGAGGAAAGCCAGTCAGCTGACAATTTAGCTGCAACAGTCATCTCTGAAGATCCTCATACTGTTTTGGTAGAGTTTTCTTCAGTGGTGGCAGACACTCAGGAATACATCATTGAGGTAAGAAGCGAGCAAGCAGCCTTGTTGTCCTGCACATAATTGAGGCAGGAAAATGAGGATGTGGGGAAGGCTGGCAGTAGTTAATTAGAAGGCTGAAACTAAGAACTTCTGACTATTCAAGATCTTCTGACCTCTCACACTTGCTTCAGCTTTCCTTCAACTTCAGTTTATTCTCCCATTTCTAGTTAGCTTATTTTGTCTGAAACAGTTTTTGTGACCATCAAAAAACAACAATTGATGCACTTCACTTTCTCCTTCTTTGTGACAGGGAGCCAGCTCTTATCTATGCAGAATAACAGTCCATTCATTGAGTCTGTTTAGTGCTGCCATAGTAAACATTGGGGCTGCTACTAATTGGAGAAAAATCTGCCAGTTGGCAGAATCCTGCTGAGAGAGGATGTCCTCTTTCAGCTATTTCTGAGCACTCTGCATTACTGTGAAGTAGCCATTTATAATGGGATTTGGAGAAAAATTTAAGGAGTTGTCTCTAGAGTAGTTACTGCATTGTGGGGGGAAACAGGATGATTTTATAAAAGATCTTGATATTTTTTATCTTGGAATTAAAAAAAAACAACAACAACAGCAACAACCTAATAATCTAAAAAAGGAATCATGCTATTTTGTCTTTCAAGACTGCTGCTGAAGATATGGAGACCAGTGAAGCTACTGAAATAATGGAGGGAACAAGACATGAGGTAAAGCAGCTACTTAAACTGTTCTTTCTGTGACTCCCCTCTGAGTGTTATGAGCTCCTCTGAGTGTCTGGAAGTCATGCTAAACAAGCAGTTCTGCAGACCTGTCTGTATAAAATAATAACAGTGACCATACCGAGTTTGAACAAAGCTCAGTCTAACCCCAGATCCTCTCAGTGATGGAGGCTAGTAACCTGTAGTTCTTAGTACATGAGACTGAAGCTGCTAAGTAGAATTGTACAATGCCACTTCAGCCTTGAGAAATTATCCTCTTTATGAATTCCTGAAGGCTAGAAATAGGGGCTGTTGCAAAATCAGAGACTCCTCACTTGTAGCCAGCCTGTCTTGAACAACTAAGTGTGCACTGTTAAGATTTTGCCACAAACAGTACTTTAAGTCCAGGAAGTACCCTGTTGGCAAAACACCTTCAGTAACACAAGGTACGTGTTATAAGACTCTGCTTTTCTTGGGTTCATGAGAGCTTCAGGGAGCAGCTGGAAGAAATGGGAACTAAATGCTGCTTGCTGTACTGCACTGCTGATCAGCAGACATGGTTTTCAGCTATGATGACGACTGTACTTCTAACAGTGCAACACATCAGGAAATAACACGGCCACTTTTCTCATAATGTAGGTTGACAGTCACATTATGAAGGTTGTGCAACAAATAGTAAATCAAGCAAACTCTGGTCACCAGATCATCGTACAGAACGTCACTGTAGCAGAAAACTCTGAAGTAACCACAGATGCTGCAGACACCATCACCATTGCAACCCCCGAAAGCCTCACAGAGCAGGTCGCTATGACCCTGGCTTCTGCCATTGGAGAAGGAGCAGTGCTGACAACAGAAGGCAGCATCGAGACAGAAGAAGCAACAGTGACAATGGTGGCATCAGAGGACATTGAAATAATGGAACATACAGGAGAGTTTGTTATTGCCTCCCAGGAAGGGGAGGTGGAAGTCCAGACTGTGATTGTGTAATGAACAGCATGCAGCTACTGACAGACGTTACACTTACTGTGTGCCTCCAGGCTGGGGAGTTTGATCAGTCCTAGGTTTGCCATTACAGTTGTTCAGAGCAGGAGTGCTTCTATAAGTAAATGGCTTAACAGGGTGGTACAGCCCTGAGGTGTTTTCTGTTTAAAATGGAAATGACAGTAGTTAAAGCCCTCTGCATGGGTTTACTCTGAAAGTGACCACTATGCCATATTTGACAGTCTGTTTTTTGTGCAGCTCCCTCAAATAAAGGAAATTCCTTTGCAAAGCATTTACCTCTGACCACAGAACAGTAGCATCTTGGTGTTTAAGAGGATTCAGAAAGTGAAGCAAGTATGTAGGTCTCATGAGAGATGACTAAAATTAATCATATGCATTTAAAACAAACCAAGAAAACCAAACCTAAGGAGTTCTGGTGTGCATTTACCACCAGTCAAACGCTTTCATGCCTTTAACCTCACTACTTTACTCCTCCTAAGGCATGGTACTGCAGTATATATATATATTTTTAAAGTATTTTATATCCTGGACAAGTAGCCTTATGTACTGGTCTATAAAGAATGCAACCCTTGCAAAGCCAGACAGGCTACTCTGAGAGCTAGTCTGTTGGTGTGTAAAGCCATATTGTACATTAATTTTTTACAGCCATGTATGGATTTGTAATTGCATACTGTACAGATTAGGCATGTAAATACATTTTTAAAAATAAAGTTATTTAAAGTTCTTACTACGCTTTTCCTATTATTTCTGCTCTCTTATCACTCAGAAGAATTTCTGGAAGGAAAAAAGAACAAGGCATGTAACATTATGCTTAAGAAACCCTCATCCTTTGGTGAGTCAAAAACAAGTTTTCACCCCTAGCAAATCTCTACAAGCTCAGATTTGTGCCTGTCTGCTTTTAGAGATCTTTCAAGTGATCTACAGCAAAATTCCAGTCAGAGGGATTATAGGTTACTTTCATGGCCATAAATTTACTTCTCTCTTTGATACTTAAGTCACAGGGTGTGCTTTTGGGTTTTTTTGGTTTTTTTTTTTTGGAAGCCCACTGATAAGGTGCCCTTCAGAGTTCACCTAGAGAATTTCCAGTACAGAAGTGGAAACCCATATTACTGCTGTACTTCTGATGGGGTCCATTTTGTGAACGCAGGAGGGCAGCCCAAGAAACAGCTTCAGCTGCTGTTAATTTCCCTTGCAGAAAAATGCCAGAAATGCAAAGAAATCCCTACAGCAGGGTTAGAATTTCAAACAGCAGAATGAAAATGAAAAATGCCAGAAGGATTAAGTTTGTAATCTGCCAGAATCTGCATCTCCAGAGCTCAACCACCATTTTTAATACTCTTTCAGGATGCTGAAATTTTAACAGAAGTCCACCATTTTAGTAATGCTAAAGCAACACCTTGTGAAATTGCTGAGAACGGGCATCAAAAGAGATTCAGCAGCACTTGTAGCTTCCTTTCTGAAAATAAGGAGTTCCATACTCACTCAAATTTGCAGTGTAACACTGGTTCTGCAAACTGCTGAATGTGAGTATTCCTGTTTTTTAGCTGAATATATGCAACTCCTACATACTGTTAATAGGTTAAACATTGGCCAAAGGTACTCACAAAAAGATGAAGCTTCCTCAGAGCTCACAGCAGCTCTTTGTTAGCTCTCCCCTTGTTCCTGCATGGAGAGATTCACTGCAGTCTGTTGGTCCACACTTGCACCTCCTGTCAGCAAGTTTGTTACCAGGACTTCTAACAGCTTCTCACTGAGTAACTTTAAAATAGAGTTCTGCTGAGGTACTGTTAATTAGAATATTGCTGTCAGCTGTGATCTCTCTGCAGGGCAAACACAGTGTAAGTAACAGACAAATCAGTGCAGACGTTTACCTCTTCCACATGCATGGCACTGCTAAGTTCCTCTAAGGCCTCCTGCAGGAAGATGTACATAAGATACACTAAAGTAACTCAGGAGCTCCATTTGCCAGTAATACCATGGAATATATTTTGCAGCATACAAACAGTAACCATATATATAAAGTCATTTTCTGTGTACATGATGTACCTTAGCTGAACCTAACTCGAGTACAGCAACCTTCTGGACTGCAGATGTGTCTGAGAAGACAAAAACACGTTGCTTTCACAGCTGATCTGAGCAGTGTTACAGACAAACTTGCAGGACCTTCAGCTTTTTCCTTCTGGAAGACTGATCACGTGAGAAGTTTCCAACTAATTGAAGTTGGTTTTTTTTTCTTATCTGAACAAAGTTCCCCGTGGTATCAAAGCACATTTTACAAAAAGTAAAAAAATAACAACGCAATAAAGAGTTTTATCTTCATTTTTTCTTCTTTCTTTCCAGCACTGCAGGAGACTTAAAGATTTCCTTTAAGTTCATCCAGACTCCTTTAGCATAAGTGTTTTTGTAGACAACTTTTCTGTCACAAGGCTGCAGTGTTCGATGATGGGAATGCCTGTTTCTTCTGAATTTGTACCATTCATTGAAAGTTTGGTTGGTTAAGGCCAAGTATAGGTTGAAACAGAAGTATGCACCCAGTATAAGTGTGAGAAGAATAACAAAACCAAGCATGAAGACAATCCTAGGAAAAGTCAAGAAAAGGTGCTGCAAGGAAAAGAAAATGATTTGGTTATAAAGCTGGGCTATTACATCACATGGCTTAAGAGAGCATTCGTTACATATCACCTCACTGCCATGCTACAGAAGTGCACGAAGGGAATGAAAAGCAAAATGACTGAAGTACCAGAGTGACTCAGCCACTCTTTGCTTAAATGGGTGAGAAAATATTCGAGGATCTAAATTTAGGATGGAAGGGTCCTGCTTTAACATACTTATCTCAAGGATTGATGGCCATTTCCTAAACGAAACTAAAACAGATGGTCATTGGAATATAGCCATTTTCATGTATCAGATCTGCTGAGTTAAAGCAGTGGAGACACAAAAATCCAAAGAATGAGAATGTGAACAAAATGCTACGAGAAAAATCCCGTATTGTTAAAGTATTCTTCAGTTTTCTAAACCTAAACAGCTGTGTAAGTCAGTACAAAACTGCCATCTGTTTACATTCTGCCTCTGATAACAGGCAGACTTGAAGATCTCCATAAGCAAAGACAAAGATAAATCTTTTCATAGGCTAAGAGCCCAGCCAGTGTAAGCTTACCTGGATGAGAAAGAAAATCTCAACAGCGTGCTGCTGTCCTTGGTCATCAATGTAACTCCCGTGCATCATATTTGACAGCAGCACCACTTGGATGAGAAATGCTGTAGTGATGATTGCAATGGTCGCAGCCATCACAGTCAGTGTGAAGAGGTAGAGGAAGAAATACTTTGCATTGAAGGCACCGATGCAGTTGTTGACCCATACACAGTGGTGATCAAAACGGTGCACACAGGTATTACAGAAACCTGATCACAAGTGAGCAACAAGGCAAGTTCAGTTGTTTGGTTTTAAGAGATTGATTCAATTTTTACACAGTTTAGGACAGCACTGCATTCAAGAAAAAAAATGAGAATTGCAGTCATGATTTAGATGGTAGTGTGCATTAAAGGGAATTCAACTACTTACCACCAAACAAACAACATTAAAAACAAACTTGTGTACCTCATTTCTTAATTTTATTTACCAAGACTAGAGCTCAAGTATTTTGCTTTCTCTGGCAGTACTGCCTAACACAGCACGTGAAAGGTAGAGACTGTAACTAGCCCGCTTCATTTTAAATGATGATGACTGCAACAAATTCTGCCAGTAAAACAAGAAATTCTGAACTCCTGTCAAACAATAATTTTTATTTCACCTCTAGATGTTCAACAGCTTGTCTAGCCCTGGCCCAAGGCAATACCTTCAGAACTGGTCATTTCTGTGAGAACAAGTAATAGCACGAATGGGCAAAGGGCAGCTGTGATGTGGAACCCTGATGAAACTGAACAAAATTCTAGTGCAATGAACTGGGTAATAAAACAGATGTAGTATGAATTGCAATTACTGATAAAGAATTAATTTGGGAATGTATTATTTTGCTTGTCAAAGAAGTTAAAGTTCTTACTGCAATGTTTTGATCTGGCTGGCTTTTCCATGTTGCATGTAGCACACACAATGCCTTTCTGAAATAACACACCATCATATGCATAAGTCTTCATCAGTGATGCATGATTTGATTTTGTTATTATACCTGTGAAAGAAACAAGACAAAAAAGTAAAAGTATTGGTACTATCAACATTTAAAGGTTCTATTTTCAAACAGCCACAGCCCACATTCAGCATGAGCTTACCAGGATTGGCACAGGAGCACAGAATGAAGCAGCCCATGTTCCCAAGCAGCAGCAGGTAGGGCAGCAGCAGCAGCACAAGGTGGAACTCCAGTTCCCAGCAGTAAACAAACACTTCCCATGTGTATTCAGCATAAACTGCTGCTTGCAAGGCTATGTGCAGGACAACAAACAAATAGTTTCTGCAACAGCAAGGAGATGGTCTAGTTAATATTCAGCATCCTGATCAACAGATCAAATAGGCTCAAGGAAGACTTTCCAAATGCAAGGAGACACCTGTTTCAGGTTTTCAGGCCAGCACAGATTGCATATTAAGTGTTCTCTCCACCCAGGAGCTTCACCTTCCCTTCGTCGCACTCCTTTAAATACGCCAACTAAACTCACATCCATTATCAGCACATCCTTTGGATTAATTTCCACCAGCTAGTCAAGCGCAGTCTCACAGTCCCCTGGTGCTGCCAAAACATGCCATAGCAATAGGCTATAAAACATTCTGCCAAAACACATTTGCTGTGTACTGCTATAAAACAGTGAGGTGAAGCAGTGGAACAGTTTGCTTGAAGGATCAAAGTGCCTCCAGCACAAATCGTAATCTAGCAGTGACAGCTACACCAAGCTCGTTAGATAATTGCTCTGTTGCTGACTGCACATTCAACAGTGAAACCACTCTCTCCAGGGCAGTGTTAACTAACACCAGAAAATCTGCACAGCAGGAAACAAACAGCAGTGGTGTGCATTCAACAGCTGGAAATATTATGCCCCTGAAGTACATGGCATACCTGAGTTTCTGCCCCCACAGGATGAGTATTTAAGAAGTTTCTGAAACAGATCTTAAAGCACCAGATTTTACAGGATGCTGCTAAATTCACCTCAGTGCAGCAGGCTAGACATTGGCAGCCTCCTGTGAGCCACCCGCACATCCAGGCTGCAGGGTGTATGGGATTTGAGGGGGAGAGAGCAGGGATCAGCAGCTCTGCCTGAACTCATTCTGCAGCTGCCAGGGAGTTTGCTGTAATTCTCCCATGGATGTGGTTTACCACCAGTGTGATCAACATCTGTTACAGTGGAAGCTGCTGAGCTACATTATTCATCAAATATGTTCAGATATTTCAGAGAACCATCTTCTCAACACGAGTAACAGCAAGACAACAGCCTGACAAACCTTAATGGGAATCTGTAATCCTGATAATTTCCTGTAATTTCCTGATGGAAAGAGAACACCTAAGGATAATGCTAACAGGACACCAACTGTAATCAGAAATATTAGCAAAAAATAATGTCAAAAACATTAAGTAAATGTGCATTACCGTGTGTGAAAGAGCCTGAGGAGCACCTCCTGTGTCACACTCTGGAGCCGAGTGGGGATTACTAATGACAGTACCTGAGGAAAATAAAAAGACTGTGTTTATCTGAATTGCACACCACTTCCACCTTGTGCACTGTTCAAATAAAAAGGTAAATCGCTAATCCCTCAGTTATAGATCACTGCAGCCATATCACCAGGGAGGATGCTCATTTCTGGGGGCACACGAGCTCCTGATGGGCATGTTGCTGGGGCTTTCAAAAGGGAAGAGAGGTTCTGCATTCTTGGAAGCCCAGCAGGCACAAACAAATGTATCTGGGTTAATGTGTGAAAGTTATAAGGAGCTTTTATCAGGTTATAGACTGTTTAACTGGCTAAGCAGGGGATAGAACTGAGCAATTTCTGAACTACAATATGCTTCATTGGGACATCTAACAGATGTAAGGGGAGATAAGCAAAGAGATAAAGCCTGCTGTTCTCCAGAAAGATCAACAATCAAATACAGGAAACCAAAAAGCAAAACAAGAAGTCAACAACACACACCCCAGTTCCTTCAGCTACAGCTACAGCTCAGTTTGACAGCTCCACATCTGCCTAATTGGCATTTCAAAAACAGCCAGGCACGGGGAAGAAGAAAACTGCCTGTCTTCATTCAGCGGGATCCTCTGCAACTGTGTGTGACTGGGGAATTGTTTGGCTCTGCTGTTCAGAAGATGACATCTCTATAGCAACGCTCTGCTTTATCAGTGGAAGAAATAGAGCAGCTGAGCCTATTTCTAGCAGACAGGGAAAGAAAACAGAGTCACAGCTTTTTATCTCGGATGCGAAAGACCAGAAGACAAAAGACATATGTAGAGTTGTGAAGATGCTCAATATTTTTCTTTTAACTGGTATGCCTCTTATCAGCAGCTCTGGTTACAAGTCTTTTCAAAAGAGACTGCATAGTGCAGCAAGGAGACATGCTACAGACAGAGCTACACACAACACACCACACAACTGCAGAACGAAAACTAAATCAGCTGTGTGTTAATTACAGCCTAACCTTATATTCAAACCCATTATTTCCTCACACACAGAACATCAAATCCTTGTAATTCAGTCCTTTCCTAGAGCAAAGCAAAATGCTCTCATGGTGGTGACAGAGGTACGAGGGGATGAGAGCCGTGCAGTGAGCACAACCACCCTGCACAACTGGAGCCCAGCAGGCAGATGGGGGTCGGAGATGTTGCAGGGCTGGGAACAGCTGTGCTGTATGCATGTGGGTGACTTCCCAACACACAGAATAGTGTAAAGGATCTCAAAGGAGTGCAGCAAAGAATGGCAATGCACTTCCAGAGTTACGCACTTCGCTCATTAGGGCCAGATATAAAAAAAGATAAAGTGCCTAAAGACACTATTTAGGACTACCTTTCTCTATTTCACACACACCAGTATCAATTGTATTTCTCCAAACGGGGAGCTTAGCTGCTGATTGCCATGTTTCATACAAGTATACATTCAGAAATGTGGGAAAACAATACATTTCTCTTCACGGTGATGAGCGTCTGTATAGCAAAACTCTGATACTGGGAACAAAACAGGATCAAAGTCCGCTTAGACTCTCATAAACTGCACAAGTTCAATGACCGCCTTATCCCTTCCCTGGCAATATCGCCTTAGTGTAAAGCTGTTCCCCCAGCCCCGCCCCGCGGCCCCGCTTCGGAGCCCCCCGCCGTGCTCAGCCCTTACCTGGCCGGCGCTGCGGGCTGCCCTGCCCAGGCGGCCGCCCCCACTCCCCGCGTGGCTGCAGTACAGCACGGCGACGGCGAGCACGAGGCACAGGTAGAGCAGCAGGAGCGGCAGAAAGTCCATGCGCGGCTCCGAGGGCCGGGGCTGAGGCTGCAGGGAGGGCCGCGCTGGACCCGGAGAGCACCGAGATCCTCGGCCGCCCCGGAACTGCGAATCGAGACGGAGGCACGGCACGGCACGGCACGGCACGGCACGGCACGGCACGGCACGGCACGGCACGGCACGGCACGGCACGGCACGGCACGGCTGCACCCGGAAGCGGCGGCTGTGCCCGCAGTGCCGGGACGGCTTCGGCGGGGAGAGGCCCGCAGGCGCTGCACGGCGCTGAGCTCCTGCCCGGCCCTCGTCCTGTGTCCGCAGAGCGAACCGAGGACGAAAGCAGGCGAAAATAAAAGCGAAAGCTCTCGTCTCAGAGCGCTGTGCGGTTCTCGCGGTCCTGCGTGGCCCCGCTCGGGTGCAGCTTTGTGAGGTTGCTGAAAAGTCCTCGTGTTTGCTGCTTGTGGGGTGTTTGGTTTCCTGGTTTCTAACGGGAGCTCCAAGTGTTACGGTGCTGTTTAACAATGAATTGAAAAAACTTAACAGCAGAGTTTTGTTTTCGTTCAGCCAGGCGTTCCTTATTACAGCGCTGGGAAGCACTGGGGGTATTTCCACCATAAGCACTTCAAATTCCTCCATTATATGGTACATGCTCATCAATTACACATGAAATAATTAACGTATACACACCCATCTCAGGTAGTGGTTTATGAGGTTTTCACTCTTCTATTCCACAGTCTCTTCCACTGCCTGGCATCCTTCTAGCATCAAGACAGTCCAACCAACTGTTCCTTCATGCAGTGGTCTTCCTCACTCACCCTCTATATAGACTTTCTTCATCGATGCATGCTTGGTAGGAGGATGCCAATTATAAGTAATTCGTAGGTACCAAAATCATAACATTTTCTCACTTAGTACTTGGCTATTATTTCCAGACATCTGCTTGTCCTTGGGTAGAAATAAGTTTGGCAACCTGTGTTTTAATGATATATACTGGGGTGCTGGAAGATAAGGAGGCTAGAGGGGAGTATCTTGATGTCTGCCTGTTGCGTCCCAACCTGCTTCCACAATGAAACATTTCAGCCTTGTGTAGAGGGCTTCTTTTGATGTTTGATAAGCCTACTCACATCATCTCATCGCTGTGTTTCTTTTGCTGAAGGTTTCTTGTTAAAACAGAATAGCCTTACTTTCTAGTCAATAATGCTACATCCATAACTATTAGAAACAGCTATAAGCTATTACAGTTTTGCAAGCAAGAATTAATTACATAATGCAACAATTCAGCAGCTGTGTTTCTAAAAGGACACTACTAAAATATATGGTATATATACTCCTTCAAATCAGCTATTTCTAAAAACATGTTATAAAACATGTTGCGGTCTTCTTCTTCAAAGCAACAAGGAGCTTCCTCAAGAACCAGCCCTAAAATCAGGTCCTGGCGCTGGGTGGGAGCGGATGGGAGCCCAGTGCTGGCTGCTGCCCATGGCTGTTAGCTGAAACCACCCCGGCCTGGCCATGCCGCCCTGCTGCCAGCACGCAGCGATTGGGTTACTGTGCTGCGATAGTTTGCCACAGGAACTCAGCCAGGTGCTGCTGCCAGGTAACTGATCCAAAGCTCCGCGGCGCTGTGATGGTTTTGCCAGCTGATCCTCTGGGCACGCAGGTAAGGGCTGCAGGGTGCTGGGAGATGAGAAATGCGCTGGGCAGAAGGGGCTGTGGGGTGTGAGGGGCATTTCACAGTTTGGATCTTGTTTTCCCTGATAAGCTCCTTTACAGCAGCACACCGAGCTGGGGTCTGAGTGCAGCCTGGAGCAGCAATCTGCAGCCCCACACTGCACCCCTGGGTCGTCATCAAGAGCTGTTTTTGTCCTCCTGATCATAGCACACATTCTGCACAGCTCTGGGTACAGCTGTAGGTTTGGGATGTTGGAAGGAACCATATGTATTTGGTGCAATGCTACGCTTGTGGGACACTCGGGGCTGTGCCATGTCTGTGCGCAGCAGAGCTGCATCCTGCTCTGCTCCCAGGCCTCCTGGGCTGTGCTGGGAGAAAAACAGCAGCAGAAGATTCAACCGTAGGGTGAGCCTCAGCACAGAGCTCACTCAGCCTGAACACTGCGAAAATCAATTAAAAGCCTTTTCTGATCCAAGTCTGGGAGATCTTCAAGGAACCACTTGCTATCTGTACATTTAGATTGGAAGCTCACAACTAATTTATTGCAAGGATTAAGAAAGAACATCTCTTACAGTTGTGCCAGTTGGTCGGTCAGCAGCTCAGACCCCTGACGCTTTGCAGGAGTGCACTGAGGTAGCAGCACGCAAGCACCCAGCACACCAGCAGTGATGAGCAAAGTACAGTGTGCAGCCATGGGAGCTCTGCAGCTCCCTTTCTTAAGGGTTTTTGCAACCCCAGGTAGCCCAGGTTTCTGGGAAGCTGCTCCATGTCGCTCACCAGGAAGGCAGAATGGCTCTCTGCACTATATGGGGGTGTGTTGTCCCTCTGCAGCCTCCTGCTCCTGCTGGTGCTGCAGCAGAACATGTAATACCCTAAAACCTCTTAGCATGCTAAGCCCTGGGATCCCTAAGTGCTGAGGAAGCAAAGGAGAAAATCAGAAATAGCAGCTTATGGGGGAGCTGCAGGCAGCATGGGGTCTGCGCTCAGGATGTGCCCCATTGTGAGGAGTTCTGCCCTGCTTCTGGCAGCCTGGTGGAGGCAGCGCACTGAGCAGCACCCACAGCCAGCACGGACCCAGTTCTGCAGCATGGTGTGTGTCGTGGGATGGACACCTCCGCAGCCTCTGTGCTCCTACCGAAATCCCAGCCCCAGGGGCTCAGAGTGATGCATCCCACTGCTCGGCACAGCCCATCTTCGGATTTAGCCATGTGGGTAACGGATTTCCCTCCATGGGATCTAATCCATTGTACTTCAGGCCCTAATCTCCTCGAGCTGTAGGCTGAGGTCAGTGCAAGGCTCAGCCAGGGCTGGCGCAGCTATTGGTCCATCCGTAGTTCTCCCTGTGGTAGCAATAAAGGCAATTAGGGCAGAGGGAAATAAGGGCAAAGAAAGCATTGCTGGGTGCCCAGCCTCGACCTGGAGCACCTGGGAGGGCTCAGCTGTGCCGTGAGTATATGGGGACACGGAGCAGCCAGCAAGGACCTCGCTTGGCCATGTCACAGCAGCACAGGTGATGGAGGACAGCCGGGAACACCAGGACCTCGTGGTGGGACAGACCTGCCCTGTCGGGCTGACTGGAGAGGAATTCTGTAAGTGCTGTAGCAGTAGGATATGGAGGTGGAAGGATGATGTGACCATGGCCATCAGCCCCGCTGTAATGTAGTCAGCACTGTGTGGAGGAGGGCATGGTTATTATCTTTAGTGCTGGTTTCCACAGAGCATTTAGTCCTTTTTAGCACTTCCTGATGAGGATGGCACCTGCTGTGTCCTTCCAATCTGCAGAGCAAGAAACTCAGAATGCATTCCCAATGACGCTTCAGAGTGATTCAGTCTTCAGAGTTCCCCTAAGATAATTTGCCCAGATAAAATAGTCTGTTTCATTTTTGTAAACGCTTAATGTGAGTTAAGTAACATGGATGGAATAAACATGGGAATAAAAAGCATCTTCAGGCGGCTGAGATCAAATGAAGTGAAGCTCCGCATGCAAATTAATTGAGTGAGTGTCAGCAGACAGCAAATGCGTGTGCACTGCAGCAGAACCTGAGGGGCCTGGGAAGACACTGGCTGTGCTGATCCCATCTGGGGCAGAACGTTCTGCAGAGGTTTGGGGCTGCTGCACGCTGAGCTCTCTTCCCCACTGCATTCACCAAGTGGATCCTAATACTGAAACTAACTACAAAATCAGAATTTGGAAATCATCATTTGTGTTTCAGGGTGCTGTAGCCAGGTTAGCGCAGGGACACATTGGCCTTCACTTTCTGGGCAGGAAGAGATGCTTCAGGGGGCTGAGAGGGTCTGGCAGATGCTGCTGGAAATAGGGTTTGCAGCACTGAGTATTGAAATGAGCCACTGAATGTCAGTTCACCAGCACAGTGTGAATGAAGTAATGACCTCTATGGACACACAGCAGGTGCCCTGCTCCACTCCCTGGGCTGGGCTGGGTGCATGCCACATCCTCACTGCTAACCATGAGAGAATAAGAACCATTTCGGGGGAAATACAAAAGAAAATTTCCTCTCCTGAAGCATTTTTGTGCCCTAGGGTGCAGTGTCATGGCACACCCAATGCGGCATCTCCAGCAGAAAGCACCACTCTGAACAGAACGCTCCCACACCACCGCCTCCCTTTGTGTCTTGCAGTTGCAGCCATGCCGACAACCAACCAAGGCTGGCCAGAGGCGTTTGGCTTCTCTCTGGGTGGCAGCGGGCCCTGCTACGTGCTGTGGGTGCAGGAGGGCAGCAGTGCAGCAGCGGCAGGGCTGCGCCCGGGCGACGAGGTGCTGGAGCTGGAGGGGCAGCCCGTCGCCTCACTGGGCTGCCCGGCGTTGCTGGCATTAGCCCGGCGCTGCAGCTCCGTGCCCCCCAGCATCGGTGTGCTGTCCAGGCTGCAGCGTGCAGACCTGCCTCCAGCCCCACACCTGGGCTTGCAGCTGGTGGGCGGCAGCCCCCCTTGCGTGGCCAGTGTGGCCCCTGGCTCTCCTGCTGCCACCTGCGGCATCGCTCCTGGAGACTTGCTGCTGGAGGTGGATGGCGTGGCTGTGCGCAGTGCCGAGGCGGCGGCCGAGCTGCTGGCATCCTGCAGTAGGCGAGCGCTGCGACTGGGGCTGCTGCGGCCGCAGAGGGACCTCGGCCCCAGCGCTGCTGCTGTGCGCATGGAGAGGAAGCAGAAAGCGCAAGAGTTCAGCAAAAAGGTAAAGATGGGGTGTGAGGGGGGCACGCAGGTGGAGCTCAGCACCACGCTCCTCACATCCCGTGTCTGGCACACCCACACGAGGACACCCAGGGCAGGCTGATGGGGGTGGATTCATGGAATCGTAGGAATATTTGGGTTGGAAAAGACTTCTACTGTCGTCAGTGCCAGAGAGAAGGGTCCCATCTTGCAATGATTGCTGAGAGAATAAATGGGTGCTATGAAGAGCTTTGGGTTTGGAGAGTGCTCATTCTTTTTGCTCTATGGGACCACATCAACACTTCCTGAGTGCCCTCCTTCTGCCTGAGCATCCCCGTGTAGTCCTACTGTGTGAAAAGGGAGAAACAGTGCTGCAGTGACATCTTCATTGTGCTCCTGAATGCTGCCTAGTGGGTAATTTACCAAACATCACCCTGCGCTAATTATGAATTTGATCGCAGTTGTTTTTTTTAATCTTTCTAATTTCCATTTCAAAGCAGCCTTTTAAAATGCTGTTATGAAAATAACCAGGCTTGTGTGTTTTTTGATCCCAAGCTAATATAGGAACAAAGCATTCCTAAAGAGATCCGTGGGCCAGACCCCCTTGGTCGGCATTCCAATTACAGCCTCACAGATAGGCACGGAGCTGTGGGTTTGCAGGCACTGCCCTGTGTGCAGATCCACTGCCTGCTGACTGCTTCTGTTCTAACAGTGCCCAGGTGGTGTTTGTAGGGCTGGAGCTGGGCTGCCCCTGCTGAGCATTGTGTGTGGCAATCACCAAAAGTTGCTTGGGGTCTCAGTTGAGGTCAATGTTGCCCTCTGTCCCCTGCACACTGGGCACAGCGCCTCAGCCTGGGAGAAAACATAACAGAACTGGCCCAGCACTAAGCTCATTGAAACACCACATTCCTCGTTCTCACTGCGCTGGACCTTGAGACAGAAAAGTTTGTAGAGCCATCCATAGGGAGCAGCTGCTGTTCTGTCCCAGATTCAGTAACCTTGAAATGTACAGCACGTGGTGGCACCCAGAATCCATGGCAGGGGGATGGTTCCTGTGGCCACCTCCCTGGTGGCCCTGGTGGCCCTGTGGGCTTATCATGCTAGTGTCCCTTGTGCAGTGCTTATGGCATGCAGTGCAATGGGATTGGGGATAGGCATGAGATGCCAAATGACGAAAGTTTCACTTTCCTTGCCACACTGCTTCCCTTCCCATTGATTGCCCGGATGCTGCCCCTAGTCAGATCTGATCTGTGCCCTGTACTCACACTTGTCCCCTCTCAGTGCCCCTTCATTCTGTGCTGCAGGTGGATGCCATCCTGGGGGACCATCCCGAGCTCAAGGAGCAGGTGTTCGCCGCGCTGAAGCAGTACGCAGCCGAGCGGAGGGTGGAGTGCTTGGCCTGTGCCCTGTGCATGCTGCTCACCCAGGAGTCCCACCAGCACCTCATCGACAGCATCAGGTACTGCCTGGCTGACATCACCCATGCCATCAGCCTGCCTGGCAGGGCTGTAGGGGCAGGGGGCTCTGCGCAGGGCTGGGGGCCAGCTCCCACATCCTGGGCTGCCATGGTACTGCTCTGCTGGTGGTCCCTATGGTCCCCAGCACCTCTTGTGCCTTGGCATAGTGTCTGTGTTATGGGTACCTGAGCATGCAACTGCACTGCTGTGCTGATCTCGTTGTGTCCAAGGATGGGGACAGGGCCAGGGACAGCACGCGGGCACGTGGCAGGGATTACAGCCAGGCTGAGACAGTAGCCATTAGGGAATCAGGTCTCCATCTGGCCCCGCTCTGGGCCTGGCTTTCCAATTCCTGCTTTAATCAGTGGAATTGCGAGATATTACCGTTACCATAACAACATCCCTGTGCCAGGGTATCTGCCTTGCTCTTGAGGTCCTGAAGTGGGAGAGTGAGTGCCTCTGAAACCAGGAACCCCTGGCACCTCCAGATCAGACCCCACTGAGGTACCCTCAGAGGGGCACCAGGAACCACCACCTGGAGAATTTTACGGCTTTTTATTTTCCCCACAGAGGGGACTGCAGGAAGTTTTTCCATTGCCCTCCAGACCCAAGCCCCTCTGCCATGGGCACACTTTCCCTGGGGCATCCCCATCCCAGCAGTGGTCTGCTGTCCCCATCCCGAGGTGCTTTTCCCCCCGTGCCATGTGTGAGGTTGGCAGTGGGGCTGGGGCAGGATGCGTGGCGAATCGGGCAGCTCATCTCAGTTTAATGAAAATGAAATATTTAGCTTAGGGGAAAGATTTACCGTCTAATCTTGATGAAATGAATTGAAGGGAAAAAAAGTTGCTTTGGAAACAATGTTTCCCAGCTGAGGATGTATTGGTGGGAGCTGCATGCAGCTCTGTGTTTGCTGTTTGTGCAGAACATGAGCTGCTTACCCCGGAGTCCAGCATCAAGCAGGTTTGCTGCTGAGCAAGAGCTTTTAGTGCTTTTAATAACTCACTCAAAGGTGCTGAGAAGCTCCTGTGTGTGCTGGATGTGTAGGATGCTGAGAACGTATTTGGGTTATTTCCACAGGGCTCAGGGCTCAGCCCCATGGCAGAGGTGCCCCAGACCCCCATGGCTGTGCAACCCCCCCAGTGCCCACAGCCCTACAAAGCAGGTGGGGAAACAGTGAGACCAACCCTTTCCATAGCATGGGGCAGGTGAGAGCAGTGCTCATGGGCAGGAAAGGAGGATGTTGGGGGGTGATGTGAGGGATGCTGGGGGTTCACAGTGCTCCCCATGCCATCAGCCCTGTGTTCCAGCAGACCAGCTGAGCCCTGCATCAGTGTGCAGGGTGGCAACAGTGACAGTGACCCATGGGGGATGACTGTGTGGCCGTGCAGAGCTAAGCAGCAAGCACATCCCTAGTGCTGGTCTGATTGGATCTCTCCTGCAGCGCCGTGTTTATTCTGGGACCTGGCTGCCACTCTCCTCCTTCCCCACGCATCCCCCTGCCCAGCTCCGTGCTGCTGTGCAGTGTAACCCAAGACCCCCAGGCTCAGCACAACGCTGGGACCTGGGGCTGCAAGCAGCGCTCCTCCTCCTGCTGTCCTCAGGCTGAGCTTTTTCGAGTTGCTTTTTTTTTTTTTTCCCTCTTCAGCTCAAATGGATTTCATCCCATTTGCCCAGAATTAAGCTCCCGCAGATTTTAATTTGCTGACATTTTCTTCGGGTTGTGGATAGCAGGGATAATGCACGTGCTGCGCCGGGTCCTCCCTGTGCGCAGATCCCCTGCCCATATGGTTGGTGGCTGTAGTAAAAGTGCACAATTGTAGTTCTGCTCAGGAATGATGAACAGCAGCGGCGCGGGGGGAAGATGAGCTGCCTCGGGTGAGTAACAACGGACCCTTCCTGGGATACTAGGGGGCTGGGAGGGGAACGGTTGGAAAGCTGCTTAATTCCGGGATCTAGCACTGCAAAAAGGAGATATGTGAAAAGTTAATCAACTCTTAGCAGCCGTAGTGCATCAGAGCTGCCAATGCCAGAGGCTCTGTGGGGTGGGGGAAAGGGAGATCTCTTCTCAGTTTGTGCCCCTCTGTCACCTGCGGGCACCAGAGCACAGCTGTGACCCAGGGGTTCATTCTTCTCCTCATATCTGCCCCACATGGGATGTAGGGGGCAGCTGTGGGTCCTGGGGTTCAGCTCTTCTTCCTGGGATGTCTCCAGCCCAGGCAGAGCTGTGGTTCAGGCAGGGAATTGCTCTGACTCTGCTCTGGGCACCTTGCAGTGCCAGGGTTGTTGACACAAAGACAAGTGATGCAGACAGGATCCTTGCTGCATTTCAGAGGTTAGGAGCTCACTGAGCACCGTGTTCCCCTTGCTGTCTGCTGTGCCCTGTGCCTTTCCTCCCACACCAGCAGTGTCCCAGTATCCATGTCAGTGCTGTTTCAGCTCACAGCAGTGGCACTGAGGTTTGAAACATGTTTCAAACAGATGGACAACAGAACTGTGGAGCTCTGAGCACAGATCTCCATTCCCCCCATTGACCTTCAGTGTTCTAAAAGTTGTGCATGCCACTCCAGCTCCGATGCCCTGCGCACAGGCACTGTCCCATTAACCTGGATGTGATTAGCAGGACGTACCCATATGCTGGTGCACACCCCAGGTGCAAGAACCCATCGGGTTTTCAGGCTGCTGCGTGCCATGGGGCTCCTGTAAGTCCTTCTGCTGTGCTTTGTTGCAAGGAGAGCACAGTGAATGCAGTTTGTTCCTTCCCAGCCCCTGCTGAGGGGCACCGGGCAGCCCCAGTGTCACTCTCAGTGCTGCAGTTCTGCCTGCAGCCCCTTTGATCCCCAATGCAGACAACACTGCTGCCTGCTGGGGATTCTCTCATCTCAGAGAAATTCCATTGAGCTCATTTTAATAACAGTCCCAAGACAATCTATTTGTCCCAGCTTGTTTTTCACAGCAATAACATCACTCGGCTTCTTCCCATATTAAAATGCTGAGGCCATCTGTGGCCACCTCTGGATGAGAAATTTCATTTTATCCATCAGGGTTTATACAGGACGCACCGTGCTGCTGCCATGCCTGCCCCCCTCCCCAAGACTGCATGCCCTCACGGACAGCTCGTGCTCTGGTTGGGGCTGGGGCACCACTGGTGCATGGTGCAGCAGTGCTGTGCTGCTCTGCAGGGTAGAACTGCCACAAAGTGGGCAGCAGGAGGTGATTGAAGGAGAGGAGGTGGCTCTCATCTGCTTCCATTTAAAAAAATCCCTATTCTGATAGCTGGACATGTGTCCTACGGCCCAAACAGGAGTTAGGGAGAAAATGTGCCACCAGTGGGGCACCAGTTGGGAGGGAAGTTCTGTTGGTTGCAGTCAAGTTCAAATGGGCCAAAAGGTCATGGTGCAAAATCTCCTGTTAGGGAACTAATTTGGTTTGACAAATCAAGCTGCTCTGTAATGCATTGCCTGCATTCACACCACCACCGATGTGCAACTTCAGTTTTGTAAAGCAGCTCTGTGACCTGAGGTGCGCTCGGGATCTCAAACAGATCACAGAAAATGGTTTCTGCTGTTCCTACACCGAAGTACACAGCAGTCATCAGCAGTTCCCCGGGGTGGGACCCGGCTGGGAGGGGCTGTGTGGCTCTGTGGTGAGGAAGGGCCCCATTCCCTTTAATGACTCTGCGGGCACATCTGCGGCACATCTGCGGCCCGATGAGCGATTATCGACCATCGGCTGCGGGGACGGGGAGACAGCCCTCTGTGCACAGAAAATCCATGGTGGGAATGCACCGCTCTGTGCTCGGGGGCAGCCACGGCCATCCCCCAGCTGCATGTGTGCTGCAGGGTGCAGGGTGACCCGGCTGTCCTGGTGTCACAGCACTGAGCACTATGGAGATATTGGGGGAGAGATGCGGGGGACGGGGGGGAGAAGTAGGTGAGCTCTGAGATCTGTGCGATGCCATAACTCGTGTTGGATGGGTGAAGTTTTCTGTCTCAGAACCATGTGACATTGGGCACTGCAGCTTGCTCTTGGGGCAGAGGTGTTTTCTGGCCTGCGAGCCATTGGTGTGGCACAGTTTAGACATAATCCCAGTGTTGCTCAGTGTTTTCATCCTCCCTGGGATGTGCTTTCTGCACGAGGGATGCAGTCAAGATCTGCTCTTTGATAGCTGTTTTGAGGCAAAGCCATACATTTTTCATTTTTTTCTCCTTTGGTGCCTGGAGATTCTCTCGCTTCTTTAGCTCCAAAAGCCTCACATCCTCTGTATCAAACGCCGTGTTTCAAGACGGTGGCATTTAAAATAGAGGATTTTATCTTCTATCCTTGCTTCCAAGAGTGGCTGTGGCACCCCAGGGGGAAGCAGTGCTCCACAGTGCTCTACATGTGCAGGAGAGCTGAGGTTCGGGTCCTGGTGCTGCTGCTAGGCCCATGGCTGCAGGGATGGGTCCAGTGGGTGCAGTGTGCAAGCAGCACTGAACCCGCGCAATCTTGCCTTTAAGGTTTCTCACCCATTACGGCAGCATGTAATTTAAACAGAAGCACTTAGAAGTCAACTAATTAGCACCAGCGAGGCATCCCTCCGGAGTTCGGCGCGAAGCCGTGCCCTCCTTTCTGTTCAGCGTCCTTCCCAGAGAGATCCAGCTAGAAATCACACATACTGCAGGGTTAGGGAAAGCAAAAAGGCTTCAGAGCCGAGTTTTGGGGCAGCGCTGGCGCTGGGGAGAAGGCAGAGTGAAACCAGCGTTGGGCACAGCGCGGGGCGAGAAGCAGGCACAGGGCTGTGCCCATCTGTCCGCTCTCTGCGTGCACGGCGGGTGCCAGGGCAGTGCCCGCTGGCACCGTGCGGGGCTGGAGCCGGCGTCGTGGGCGTGAGCCGGGGCTGAGCCTCAGCTGCATGCGGAGCTGAAGCGTCTCCTTTTGTTCCCGCTGCACCTTGGACAAATGGGGAAGGACCGGAGCTTCTCTCGGCATTTTCGGTACGTCTGCACTCCGTGCTGTGCCCGAGGGTTGGTGCACGGTGTGGGGCTTGTGCTCCTGCGGTGTCCCCACGATGCACGGCCGTGCGAGGGGACCCCGCTGCCAGGGGCGCGAGGAGCCAGGGAACGTGGGGCGAAGCTTAAAGGAACGCTGGGGCCGGGGGCTGGGAATTGCACATCAGGGTCTGCTTTGGCTCTGTGCACGCAACGCACAGATGGGTTGGGGTGCTGTGGGGTGCAGAGCTTGTGGCTGGGTGTTGTAACCGGATGGTGCCTGTGGTGAGGGCACTGAGCTGTGCGTGCTGCGGAGCGTGGCACAGGGCTCAGCACCCACCACAGCTCCTGGGAGGCACCGCCTGGGTTGTGGGGTGGGTGCTGGGCTGCGGGGCAGGAGGGAGTCCCTCTCAGGTGCAGTGGGAATATCCATTAGGAAATAAGCTGCAAATGAGCTCTCTGTGGTTTTTAAAGAATGAGACGGACAAAGGCTGAGCTGTGCCAAGCACGCTGTACCCAAGTGAGCATCAGAGCAGCTGGGGACAGGCAGGACAGGCTCTGCCGGCTGCGTTTCCTGGCCTTGTGGGAGCACATGGCCCTTGGGGACATCTCCTGGCCTGGAAAATGCCCTCAATTTGTATTGATTCAGACTTAGTTCTGATGAAGGTGTCCTGGTATGACAGAGAAGGGCTGGCAGTGCTCTGCAGGGCTGGGTGTTGGCAGTCACCATGCCCAGGGCTGGGGGAACCTCAGCCACTGCACTCCAACAGGGAATGTGGGCAGTGCTGACAGAGCACAGGAGGAAGAGAGGGAGGAAGGCAGATCAGTGCTGATGTCACATCAGCCAACGCCACCCATGTGCTGCCTGGATGGTGGGTCACTTGTTAAGGACAGATCTGAGCGCTCACCACATTGCATGCCATTGAAGCTCTAAAATACCTCCCTGCAGGTCTCTGAGAAGTGCTGTGCCCATCCTAAGGATGCTCTGCAAAGGGTTTTGGAAGAAGAAAATCTTTTGTGCACTTATTAGGATTATTATTACTATCATTAAGCTCCTCTCCCTGATAGCACCAAGTTTCACTGCTAGCACTGAGTCAGTCCATAAAAAAAAGGAGTCTCTGGGCCTGCTTTGAGCTTGTGCTCTGTTGCTGCTCCGTTCTCCTTTCTGCCAGCCCACAGGCAAAGGAACCACCCCGGCAAAGTGGGGCAGCCCTGCGGGAAGCTGTGGGACCGATCTCATTCATCCAGCTGAAATGAGAGCAGAGCATCTCTGCCCTTGGGAGGGAAGTGGGGCTCAGCCTGGCCCCAGCCCCTGCCGCCTGCCTGCAGCTGAGGAGCTGCTTATTAGCAGCACTGCACTCATTTCTCACTGCATTTCTCATTGTTGCCTCATCACAGATTGGCTGTGAATCGTGCTGGTGTGTTCACTAATTTTAAATTATCACCTGGCACTATGTGTGAACATCTGTCGGCCTTGGGACCAGGTGAGCTCTGCCTGCTCTGGCCCAGCAGGAGGGCACGGGCTGCGCCATTGGGCTCAGCCTGGGTGCAAACAGCTGTGTCCTGGTCTCAGAGGTTTGGGATCTGTGCTCCTTCTCCAGCTCCATCCTTGCTTTCAGATTCTTTTAGAGAAGATACCCCAGGGTTGAGGACCCCCCAGTACTCCCAGCCCAGATCTTTTCAGATGCTCTCTGCATCCTGCTGTGAATCAAAGCCACTCCATAACATGCAGTCCTGAGGTGCAGGGTGGTGACACCACATCCCTGCTTCCTGCTAATGTAGAGAGCATGTCCATGAGATGAGGTGTGTGCAGTAAAGAGAGGTGCCAGCGGTGCTGCATATGGAGCGGGCACAGCTGCAGCAGTGAGATGCAGTTTGGGTGCAACAGTTAGAGTTGCTATAGAAACATCGTGAGATAACATCTCCTCCAGAAGCCCCTAAATGTGCAAATGGAAAAGGTGGGAGGAGATGAATGGGGTGTCAGTGTTTCACAGCTGTGATGGGAAAAGGAAAAAAGAGAGGAAGGAAAGGCATCTCCATGTGTTGCAGTGCGGGAGGTGTGTGACACCCCAGACAAGAGCTGCAGGGATGGGCAGGGGGGACGTGGGCAGGGAGGGCCATGCGGGGACAATAAGCACCTCACTGGGGCCCTGCAGTGTGTGAGTCTGCCAGGGTCCTTGGAGCACCTGTAACAGGGATGAAGGCAGAGAGAGGTCTTCTCTGTAGAGCTGGCTGCTGGGCCATAATCGGGTGAAAAACAACTGATGCAAGGCTTGAGCTGCACCTTGCCATTGGCCCAGCAGGACTAGCAGCTAATAGGGTCTGGTATGGGGCATCAAGGAGGAATGGAGCTGTTGCGATTGGTCTCTGCATAATGCTGTGCTGCAGAGAGCTCTGACCTTCTCACCCCAAGGCGCTGTGCATGGGACAGGGCAGGAGATGCAGCCAGCATCCATGGTGTCCCCTTGTATCCTTAGCATCCCGTGTTCCTGGTGCTCACAGGCAGTGCTGAGGCTGAGGGCACACAAGGGACTGGAGTTCTCCTTTTCCGGGCACTGCTGGATGCAGAGCTCTGTGCCATCACGCCCTCAGTCCCATCCTCACTCTCTGCTCTCCTTGCCCCTTTTCCAGGATTTTCATCCCCAAAAAACACCGGCAGCGCTTCGATGAGGTGGTGTCACAGAGCCTGATCAGCAAGCTGTGCCGCTCCAAGAGTGAACAGCACAGCAACCGCCTGCGGCGCAGCCGGAGCGAGGACCACCAGGAGAGGCTGCTCGTGTCCACCCGTGCCAGCTCTGTGCCCCGCAGCCACGAGGAGCTCAGCAAGAGCCTGCGGAAAACCACCTCGCTCATCACCAGCAATGTGGCCTCAGGGGCTGCGCGCAGGTAATACGGCTCCTGGGTGCTGCCTGGGTGTGTTTGGTGTGGATGGCAGCATGGGGGAGATGCTGGGAATGGGGATGTCTTCTGTGCACAGGATGGGTGAAATCCTCCTGGGATGAGGCTGAGCACAGACCCTTCTTGCTTGAAGGGTGGGCAAGTTTGCACTCCGTGTCCCAAATCTAGGTCACCTTTTCTGTCCCCTTGCTGTTGCAAAGGTGCGTGTGGAGGTGAGCTGGCACTCAGAGGCTTGAAGGGATGGTGGCATGCTGGGTGAGTTGCAGGATGCCTGGGCACGTCAGCTGGGGTGCGGGATGCTTGGCCGCTCCGATGGCCCGCACTGCCAAGCGCACAGCAGGCTGTGCACGTCTCCCTGCCCTGCCCCAGCGGTGTCTGGGTGCCAGGCAGCAGCAGCAGGAGGAAGGCAGGACATGGCTGCACAGGGGATTAACCCACTTCCCACTGCCCAGATGGCCAGACCCCTGCAGCTCATAGCATGGAGCTGCCCTGCTGTGCTGGCGCTGACTGCCGCTGTGCTCCCAGCCCCATCTCACAGACAAGCAGAGTGGGACAGGGTCTGTTGGGGGGCAGGGACTGCTCCTGGTGAGGCCCTGTGCCACTGTGGTTGCTCCGAATCATTCTCCTGCCTCCATCTGTTACCCTCAGGGTGTTTGGCCACAGCACACCTCCCTGTGAGGAAAATTTGTTGCTATGACTTTTCCAAAATTCAGTTCCAACACATTTTTCTCCCTGCCAGTGTAAAACTGGTCTCTATAGTGGTTTCCTGGTTGTGAATGGTCTCGGTGCTGTCACTTTCCCCAGGAAGCTCTCATCTCTTCCTGATGCTCTTTCCAACATTTCCTCACTGGATTTCACTTTTTTCTCATCAGTCTTTGGGCTCTTTGCCCCCATTCTCTCTTATTCTATGTAATGTATTACAGCCTGTGCTTCACTTTAAAAACATATTTGATTTGGAGCCCTGGGCTGTGTTTTTATGAGTGCAGTAATTAATAGAGTATCAATCAATGCTCACAGGCTCTGTTCCTTCAGCTCCCATCTCCAGCATCCCCATCTCCCCTGTGCTGCAACCTTCATGTTAATGTACATTCAGCCTTAGCTTGCAAAAGCTGTAACTGGATCTAAAGGCTCCAGCAGAGACCCTGTGCTCAGTGGCCACAGTGGCAGCACGCTGTCCTCATCCCAGGGGTCAGCAAGGGGTGTCCCTTTGGAAGGCATCAAAGGGACTCGGTGAGCAGCGCAGGAGGTACCCAAACAGAGGGGCTCCAGTGGGGCTGGGGAAGGAAACAAAAGCCCAACGTTTGTTGTGTTCTGATGTCACATTTGTTTGTTTTTCTACCTGCAGGACGGTGCGAGTTTATAAAGGCAACAAAAGCTTTGGCTTCACACTGCGCGGACATGCACCAGTGTGGATCGAGTCCGTTCTGCCAGGTAAGAATCCTGATGGCCACCAGGCTCAGACCAACCCAGCTATCTATGGCGTGAAACAGAAGTGCTAAGTGTATGTTGCTTGCTAGAAAATAGCCGAGGAGCTTTACAAGGCTGCAGGGTCCCTGCTCTGGGGCACAGAAGGCATGGAAGGGATGGGGCAGACCCCAGCCCAGGGGCAGCAGCTGCAGCCCCACTCCTTCCCTCTGCCTGCAGGGAGTCCGGCTGAGAAGGCTGCACTCAAACCTGGAGACCGAATCCTATTTCTTAATGGCCTGGACATGAGGTAAGTGGCTCCTGGAAGGAGTGTGCTGCTGTGGGAAGGGGCGCAGTGGTGTTCATTACTAACCCTCATAGAATAGAAGCCAGAGATGAGCATCCTTCAGAGCTATCTGCTGTGGGATGTGAGGGATGTCACCCCACATAGACACCTCCTGTAATATTTTTCCATGAAAACTGAGTATCAGAGGAATATTTCAGCCCGGCCTTGCTTGTCCTTTTACATCACTGGTGCTGTGGCAGCAGCCTGTATTTCACCAGGTTGGGCTTTCTGCAAAGAAAAGCAAGAGCAAAGGGTTAGGATGGACTACAAGATAAGAGAGAGTGATGAATATTTAAAGGTTAAACATCTGATGCTGCTGCTGGCAGTGCTCAGGCTCTCACATTTCAGCTGATCCAGCAAACTGTTGGCTGATGCAGCAGCTCCAGAACAGAGCATACCCACCTAGAGGCTGTTCTCTGAGCCCACATTGCAGTGGCAGTGCCCCAGGTCAACCCATGCCCTTCCCAGGGATGTATTTATCATCCACTTCACATCCTCTCCATGCAGAGTTAGGACAGGCAGAGTCCCCCAGTGCTCTGGCCTACACGAGAAGTTCACCTACTGGGGCTGTAGATGCACACCCCACACCCATTGCTCACTGTGGATGCACACTCCATGCCCGTTGCTCACTGTGGCTGCGGTGATGCAGCGTGATCTCAGCTGAGATCCTGCAAGAGGAGAGCCAGGGAGCTGCAGCCAGGGCATGGTAGGGGCTGTCTGTCTGCAAGGAATGGGGTGGCCCTGACCCAGCTGTCTGTGCCCTGCAGGAACTGCTCTCATGACAAGGTGGTGTCGATGCTGCAGGGCAGCGGGGCGATGCCCACCTTGGTGGTGGAAGAGGGCATCGTCAATTTCTCCAGCGGTAAGTGTGCTGCAGAGGGGGTGCCCTGAGGGTCAGGAACCCCAGATTCAGGAGTTCCTAAACTCCCTGTGTGCATCGGGAGCTGCCAATGCCCGTGGGCTCAAGGCACTGAAGGTACTGGACGCTGCTCCCCACTACCTGCAGAGCTGCTCCTTGGCTTTCTGTGGCCAGGCTGAATCCTGGGCTTGGCCGCTGCCCAGCAGCTCATTGCACTGTGTGATCGTCCTTGACAGCCCTTTCCAGTGTCCTTCATATGCAGTCTGTGCTGTGTACTTGACTGGAGTAATCCAACCCTGTGCATCCATAGTCGCTGTGCAGCTATCACGGCTGTGTGTGGACTGTGCTGTGCAGAACTGCTGACATGAATAATTCAGCTTGCTGCTGGGAGCGAGCTGGAGGGAGCAGGCGGTGCATTGTGTCAGTGATTGCAGTGAGGTGCAGGAATATGGTCCTGCAGAACTCACAGTGCTGCATTCCCAATGCAGGGAGAGGGGCAGTGTGTTGTGGTGGTGCTGTTGTGTGATGCATAGGGCTGGGAACTGGTGACTGGATTGTCCTTCTGGTGCGGTGAGGGCTCCCTCGAGCCCTGTGCTATCCACTGCTTTGCATGTGCCCTAGAAACAACAGCAGGAGCCCCAGTGCTCATCAGTGCACAGCAGTGGCACTCAAAGCCCCATGAAAGAATCCAAAGCAGGGTGACACAGTGAGCAACCCTGTGTCAGTACCATTCCTGTCATCACACTGCTTCCCAGAGGCCAAAATCTGTCTTTTTTTTTTCCTGGGGTAACCACCCCTGCACCAAAACACCATGATTTGTGTTTCAGTGGAGCTGAGGTGCCTGTGCTCTAAGCTTTCCCGCATCAGAGGGATTTCAGCTGCCCAACAGAGGTGCAGCAGATGTGAGCAGTCTGGGCTTCAGGCAGGGATTGGGAACACAGGTATTGGCCCAAGAGACCCCGACAAGGCCAAGCAGACTGCATGCCATGCTCTCAGGCAGCTCAGTGCAGGCAGGGCAGTGCAGGACCCCCATATGCAGGTCACGGCTCTGCCATCTGCTTGGTTTTCAGGCTCCCGGGGGCACACAGCTGCCCCAGTGTCCTCCTGCCCTGTCCAGAGGATGGGCTATGAACTCAGCCAGCCCCTCTGCCTGTTCAATTCTCTTTTCTCTCTGCCTGCGCCTTGCAGACTCTGACTCTGCCGACTCCCCGACCAGCTCCTCTGCGCTCACCTCCCTGCAGTGGGTGGCAGAGATCCTCCCCTCTAGCATCAAGATTCAAGGGAGGACCTTCAACCAGCAGCTGGAGCACCTGCTCACCCCACCTGAGCGCTGTACCATCTGCAAAGCACTGGAGAGCTTCTTCCAACATCGGTAACTTCTTAGCGGTGCCATTCCCTTAGCGCCAGTTCTGATGGCCACAGCAGGGACAGTCCTGCAGCAGCACAGCCCTCAGCCCGCAGGCTCAGAGCCAGGCTCAGCTGTCTGCTCTCTCCAGCTGTGCATTTTTCTCAGGGTAAGAGCTGAGCAGGAACCCATCTCTCACTGGGTGTCCTGCCCGCGGACAGGGCAGCACGGTCACCTCTGGTTCCCCTGCCATACGGTGACCTCATCCCCTGCAGCGCTGGCTCTCTTGCTGCCTGGCAGTCCCCACAATGGCCGTAGGTTCTGTTCCACCTCTCTGATCTCACCGGGCTTCATTCCCAACTCCTTGCTCTTCTCAGCATTTCTCGGCAGCAGAACAGCTGCAGAGTCCTCATCCCACAGCTGTACCCAGCTGAAACCCAGCCTCAGGATGTGTCATAGCAACCTGCTCTCTGCCCTTCATCTTCAGCCTTCCAGCAGGGACGTACCACCTCTCAGGGCACTGGGAGATATTCACTGCCCCTTCCCACAGCTCAGCACCTGCTCTGGGGATGTGCTGCTCAGAGCCAGGCAGATCCTGATGCTTTCATGTAGCACTTTGTTTCCATACAGACAGATAAGGATCTCAATCCTGTTTTGCAATGAAATGCAACAAACCCCTCTGTATTTAGGTCACTGGCAGCGATAAGCTCCCAAGGAGCATTGCTGGGGCTGTACCAACCTGATGTGGTCAGAGTTGCACCCAGAGCTGCAGGTGCTGACTTGAGCTGCTGGAATCCCCCAGCGCCAGCTGAATGAATCCACTGGGGACCAGCAGTCAGCACACTGAGACGATAAAGCAGAAATCATTGCTTAGAATCCTCTGAGACAGCTCTGCTCCTGCAGGATTCCCTCTGCATGGTTGCAGCCTCTGGGACCTGCAGTGGGAGATAAGCCCAGGGGGTTTTGTGCTTGGAAGAACCTGGATGGAATCTGAACACTCAAAACAAATTGCTCAGCCTTAGACAAAATCATCTTGCCTGTAGCTGCCCCAGTCCATCACCTAATCCATCAGCCTGCCCCAGCTGTGACCTGTATCTGCCCTGGTAAGGGCAGGTGAAATCCTCTACATGACATTTCTGCTGCTTGCAAATAGCAGCACTGCCCAGCAGTGAACACAGAAGGGACTCAGGATGGTGGTGCCTTGTCTGGCATCATAGAAAAGGCAGAATACCCACATATAGAGAGCAGCTTAGCAGATAATCACTGTCATCTTTCAGCTCTCCCTCACACACCTGAGGGAGTTCAGTGATTAATATCAAGACAACAGATTTGTTCCTATATACAAAGTCCTAAATACAAAGTTTTCTATATGGAGTTCTTGCTATTGCTTCTACATTAAGGCTGCAGTAGTTGCAGTGAACTTTAACCACTGCTTTCTGCGTGAGTTTCTCAGTAGAAAAACATCCTGACCTTAGCTGTGACCCAGCCTTGCTCAGCTGAGACCCACCTCTTAGAGACCAGTCCCTCTGGGACTGCCTTCTTTCCCTGGGTGTTTCACTCTCCTCACCACTTCGGGCACTCAGCCCCATTATCCTGAGCAGACCCTGTATCACCTTCACCCCACACAGCATAGGACACAGTCCTCATCCCAGCTGCCCACACCTCAGGCCTTACTAGAGCACCTCTATGTCCTGGTGCTCATCCATCCATCCATCCATCCATCCATCCGTCCATCTATCCACCCATCTGTCCAACCACACAACCCATCCATGCTGCCCCATACACACACAGCCTCCCATAGCAGGCTTTGTGGTCTAGCTGCCAGGTGCTGCCAGGCCCTGCAGATTGCTGTCCCTATCAGTCCCACTTGCACATCCCCAGTCCCCCACATCTCTCCCACCAGGATCTGTTCCTTGCCCACAACTCTGCTCGTAGATGACCTGGGCAGCTCGCACCAATGATGAGGCAATCCCAGCAGCTGAGCTGCAGGCAGATCGGGAGGTGCAAAGCTGTGTGCTGGGGCTGTGCAGCTCAGAATGCACTCACTGCCCAGCCCTCTCTCTCCCATTTTGCAGGAACATTGACACTCTTATTGTGGATGTGTACCCGGTGCTGGACACACCAGCCAAGCAAGTCATTTGGCAGTTTATCTACCAGCTGCTGACGTACGAAGAGCAGGAGCACTGCCAGCAAAAGATTGCCAGGTTTCTTGGTTACAAGTCCTTGGCAGGTGAGAGGAAAGCTCCAGCTCCAGCAGGGATGTGCCCAGGGAGTGTGCACTGCTCAGTGCAGCTGCTGCTGTGCTCCAGCTCCTGCTAATAACTAGGGTTTGCTCTGTGAATGTTGGGCTGAAGGTTACTTCTTTTCCTTTTCTGTATAGTTTTGGAAGGGCAATTGCATTTTGAGAGCAAATGTGGTAGTGGTTCGGTTGCAGAGGTCTGGGTGCAAAGGGTGCCAGAAGCTCTCAGGCTGTTAGGAAGCTCCAAAAGGAATTGGTGCTCGAAGGGCAGTGTTCAGATAACAGGTGAATGAGCAATGATGGCAGTGGGGTCTGTGAGATGCCCGCAGCCATGCACAGCACCTGCAGTGAGCACTCAGGATGAAGTCTCACCCCAATAGAGCTGGCTGGGAGCAGCCATGTGCTGCTGTCACCATCCCTTATTGCTGCAGCAGCACGCAGCTGTGCCTCGGTGGGATTATGGGCTTTGCACTCAGACAGCAGAAAGGGGAGGGCAAATTTGGGCTGAAACGTTTTAATCTTTGAATCTGAGCTTCTTAATTGCTTCCAAATTCTTCTACTCTCGGGCATTAGTGTTTTGATATGTTTATTTTAGACTCGGTGTCAGTAAAATGGCACGAAAGAGGTGCTGTGAGGAGAGAGGCTTTGGGGACAACATTGTGGTTTTAGCACAGCCTTTTCCTTCACAGGGGGAACAGCAGAGCAGTCCTGCTGCAAATACCCCTGCTATGCACTGATAGGGTATTTGCTCACCCAGTTTGCAGTCTCAGTTATCACTGCTTTGTTGTGTGTAGAATCGTGCCCCGGTGTACCTAACTGCTGTATGTTCCCAAGAACACAGATCCTAAAATGGAGTTTATGAACTTCCGAAGATCTGGGGGGAAATTAATGTGTGTGCAGATGGCAGCTGTGTGCCAGGAGTGCCAATGTGTGCCCCCAGCCCTGGCAGAGGAGGATGGCACTCTGTCCCCCAGGACCTGTCCCCCTCTGCGAGCTGCTCCCTGGCTCCCACCCTGGCAGCGAGGGGCAGTCTGTGAGTGCTGCTTGTTTTGGTTCATGATGTGTGTCCATGTGTGGGAGCATGGCCAGAGATCCATGAATTTGGGGTGATTCTTCCTCCTGTCTTCTTCCAAACTCAGTGGCAGTCTCTGATGCCTGTGTCTATTGGTCTGTCTGAGCACCAGTCCATGGGACACGTCATACTGAGGCTCCAGTATCCCCGTCCTGCTGTGAGTCTGAGCCTCTGAGCCATTCCACCACCAGAATGGTTCTCCAGGGCAGTGTTACAGCACTGCTCCCACTGCCCTGTGTCCCTCAAGGGCAGGTAGTTATTGCTGAACACCAATCCTGCTGGGAAAAGGAGCAATTCCAATTTTCCACTCTGTGCATCTGCATTTGCAACTCAGTCTGCTTCCTGGCAGCAGCTTGAGGATGGGGAAAGCCGTGAGCACAGCTGTTGCCGAAGGGCTGGGGGCAGCTCTGGTACAAACAGTGGGGCAAGGGGGGGTCTGGTGGGTCTGTGCATGTCTCACCACTGTGTTTCCTGCTGCAGCTGAGCCCGAGGCAGAGGAACGCTACCGCAGCTCAGTGCGAGGGGCATCTTTGTGCCGGAGCAGCCTCCGGACCAACCGCCCCGAGGAAGGAGGGGCTGCAGGTGGGTGCTGTGGGGCTGGGGTCCTGCAGACTGTGCCCAGGTGTTCTGGGCCACGCTGACATCCTGACCTGGGCACAGCTGGTGGGAGGAGATGGAGCCTTTGGAAATCCATATTTATGAAAGTTAAGCAGTTCCAATAAGAAGCCTCTTAGGCTGATCCTGAACATTGTTTCCAGTCCCCTCTATTGCTCAGAAGTGAATTGCAAGGGTAAGCAGACCATGGGATTTGCAGTAATCAGAATCATTCCTCCCCTTCAGTGATGTGCATCTCCCCAGTGCTGCTGGTTCCCCCCTCTGGGGCATAGGCTGCAACTTCCTGTGAGCTGTGTCAGACAGCACCAAGTTCATAGGCAGAACAGCATCTGTGAAACCACTGTGAGAAAAGCAGGTCAAAATGGCACTTTGTGACTATTGATGAAATCCATTCTTGGCTCAAACTGTTCCTCTTTTCAAAGGAAACCCCACATATCGCCCCTTGTCTGTCCTCCTGTGGTTGTCCAAACTCCTAAACGTGCACTGGATAAATGGCTCTTCCCTTTAATATCACTGTCCAGCTGTGCAAGGTACATCTGCAACCACAGCACAACCACAGCACTGCTCAGGTGCTGAGGATTCACAGGAAACTTCCAAACCTACCAGCATGGTGGCAAGAGAAATGCAAAATATTCTCATTTTATAACTGAGCACACGAATGTTCATGGGTCAGTGCTGTGGGGGCATGCACAGGACGGGCTGCTGAAGGTCTGTCTCTGTTTCCCAGCAGGGCAGAGTGACACCGTGGAGGTCCCGGTTCGCTTGATCCCCGGAGAGAGGCAGGCTGGCGATGGCACGTCTCTGCCAGAGACACCCAACCCCAAAATGGTGCGGGCACCACCTGCGGGCACCACTGCCCTGGAACACGGGATCTCTGCTCTCACAGGGAGCATCACCAGATCCCTTCCATGTAAACGTAGGAAAGCAGATAGAAGGGAGAGCAGGAGGGTTGTGCAGCACTGCTGTCCATGCCTGGCAGCATCCCTGACCCCGGGCTTTTCTCTGGGCAATCAGCTTGAATAACGTGGGGGTCTGTCACAGCCCTGTGAGCCGGAGGCTGCTGAGTGGGGGAGCTCCAGAAAAGGTGAAGGTCAGGGTGGTGCAGTCTTCTACAGAATGAGAGATGTGGGTGGTTGAGTCCATGGTGGATGTCCTGTCCCCGGGACATCACAGGTCCCTGGGTGTGTCACAAGCCAGGCCTTGATTCCAGCAGCTCTTTGCCCTTTTCCCCCCAGATGTCGGCTGTCTATGCAGAACTGGAGAACCGCCTGCTGGGCAGCTTCTCCAGCAAGGTGGGCAATGCTGCCCTGCACCACGCATCGTCCCCAGCCCCCGACCCGGCGCATGCTGCAGGTAGCGCCCGATTTCCCTCAGCTCTGGAGAGAGGCAGACGTGGGGGGGTCTCCAGTGGCAGCAGGAACCGCCCGGCAGCGCCCTGTCCTGCAGGTGCCCGCAGATCGGGGGTGCCCGTCTCATGGCCAAGCGACCCGCTGGCCGCCCAGCAGTGCTACTACCGCCTGCACAGCAGCCTGCGGTCCCCGAGCAGCACCGAGTCCAATCCCTACGTCAGCCTGGACAGCAGCCCGGCCCCGTCCCCCCAGCACCGGCCCTACCCACTCAGCCCGCTGTCGCGGCGCAAGAAGCTCTTCACCTTCTCCAGGCCGCCACGCAGCCGTGACACCGACCGCTTCCTGGATGCTCTCAGCGAGCAGCTGGGACACCGTGTGACCATCGTGGATGATTTCCTCACCCCCGAGAATGACTACGAGGAGGTGAGCGTGGTGCTGGAAATGCTCCATCAGCCTTTTCCCGTGGGGGCTCAGAACATCCCACGATGGCTGATAGGAGCAACCTTCATCCGCTCCCCTCCTCCCCCCAGATGAGCTTCCACGATGACCAGGGCAGCTATGTCACCAACGACGTCAGCAGCAGCGAGTACATCAGCAGCAGTGATGAGGGCAGCTCCCTCACCTACTCCACGCTGTCGGACCACATCCCCCCACCTCCGCTCAGCCCCCCGCCCCCGCCGCCCCCCCCTGCAGTCCCAGGACCCCCAACCTGTCCCTGCCAAGGCCGAGCCCCCCAAGGCCAGCACCTCTTCTGCCCCCAAGCCCCTGGTGAGCCACCTGCACCCCGTTCCGCCTCCGCCTCCCCCCCCCGCCTCCCCCACCTGTACCCTGTGCTCCCCCCCTGCACCGGGGGCTGCTGCACCGCCGGAGTGAGACCAACCACATGAGTGTCAAGAGGCTGCGGTGGGAGCAGGTGGAGAACTCGGAGGGGACCATCTGGGGACAGGTATGGCCTGGGAGATGCAAGGGAGTCACAGGTTTATCAGTGGGGAACTGCAAATGTGGTTCACAGCATTGACAGGGAGAGCATGGAGAGCCCATGGGGGCAAAGAAGAAGCTAAGAGTGAGGCTCAGTGCAGTAAACCTTTGGCACCACGGACTTGGGGCAATGAAAAGCTCTAGAGGTGGATTCAGGGCCCTGCAGGGTGCAGGCCTTGGGAACTCAGCCTCCAGCCTAATGGAGCTCAGCTTCCACCCATGATGTTAGTTGGATGGCAGCTCCAAACAGCTGGACGGGAGCTGTAGGATTGCTCTCCCATCATGCATCCCAGTGGGCACATCCCTCTGCCCTACACCATGGAGAATGAAATGTTTCTTACCGGTGACTTTTGGATGCAAACAATTCCAGGCATCTCTGGAATTCTATGTTCTTAGTAAAGCAGCTGTTCCCCAGCAGCAGGCAGAGAGCAGCATGCTCTGTGGGGCTTCAGTGCAGGACAGGAGCTAAACAGATCTATGGGGCAAGGAAGCAGTGATGGATGGAAATGTGTCCTCCCATCTTCTCTAAAGAGAATGAGTAAATCCTGTGAGATGAGTGTAGAAGCACCTCCTTAGGCGATAAATGACTCCCCAGCTTTCTGCAAGGCATTGCTAGTGTTATAAATGTCTTATAAGAATAGTGCCATCAGTGTGGGATTTCCTGGGAACACAGATCTCCAGGTGGTGGTGGGGAGGGGGCACAGTGCCCAGGTTCCCACCTGCTCCTCCTCCTCCTGCAGCTCGGGGAGGACTCGGACTATGACAAGCTGAGCGACATGGTCAAATACCTCGACCTGGAGCTTCATTTCGGGACGCAGAAGCCAACCAGTAAGTGATAGAGCCCCTGGGCAGGTCCTGGGGTCAGCCTGAGAGGGGCACAGTGCTCCATGGTCACCAACCATTGCCTGATTCCGGCACCTGGAAGACAGCACCATTCACACACAGGGTGCTGGAGTGCTGGCACTGCAGACTATTAAGGTGAAGACCATTTCGCTGTCTCCCTTAATTCTCTTTGCTGCCATTATCTGTTTTCTCTCTGCATTTCCGCCAGCCTGGGCAGCAGAGCTCTGCATTGTTCTGCTCCCAGCTGCCATGCTCAGTCAGCACCACGCCACCCTGTGTGCCAAAACTGCTCCTCATTGCCACCGCAGGCCTGGCTTCCAACCTGCAGCACACGTTGTACCCATCTGTGATGGGCTCTGCTTATTGCTGTCCACACACGTGTGTTGCCCGCACACGGGGACGCACCTCATCACAGCTCCGCTGCTCCCGAAGCTCAGCCCTCAAACAGCTGTGAACACATTTCTCTGTCCATAGAGGGCACCACGAGTAACACTTTTCTGTTTATATGTGTAATAACACACAGTAATGGCAGCAGGCGTGGGCAGAGCCAATCTCATGCGGGCAGGTTCCGATGGGATGGACTGTGGGAGGGGGATGCTATGTGACCCTTGCCAGGAGCTGTCATTTTGGGGATATTTCTAGGATTTTCTGTGTGTTTCACCTCTCGTTTTACCTTTTTCAGCTCCGAGTCCTCCATTCAGGAGATCTTTGAATCGCAGAATTCAAGGATTCCCGGAGCCATTGCTGTGTGCCAAGCATCAGTCCTCCTATCTCATTCATGGTTTCACTGTTTTCAGCAGTTTTCTTCCCGCTGGAGACAGCTGAGCCTGTCCTTACCCACGATTATATCTCTCAGTTTCTCTTCCAGAGCCAACTTTCATGCCTGAAACATTTAAAAAGAAAGACGTGGTTGAAATTTTGTCCCACAAAAAGGCCTACAACACATGTAAGTAAACACTGTGGTGAATGTACCCCCAAACAGGCCCAGAGATGGGACCGGGGATGTAGAGAGCTGGAAAGGTAAAAGGAGGGAGGCTACATGAGCACCATCCCATGAGCACCATCCCAGCACAGCTCCCCTGGTCTGAGCTGCCCTTGTCACCCAGCAGAAGGCCCTGCAGACCTTGGCTCAGCCTGGGCAGCGGGCAGAGGAAGGGAAGGACAGGACGGAGATGGGATGTGACTCATTGGCCTGGGAAGAGCTTGCAGGGCTGTGGGCAGGGCTCAGCACCACATCTCAGGTGCTTGTGGTGGGGTGGGGGCATGGTGGGACCTGTGGGGTCCTGCTGTCCTGGTGTGGGGCTGGGCAGGGGCTCAGGGCACGGTGCCCTGCTGCACTGGAGACGTGCATGCAAAGCAGCGCAACAGTCTGACCGGGGGCTGTGGGAGACAGCGATGCCCCAGGACTCCCTACAGCCTCTGCAGTGCCTTGGGGAGTGGAAAGCCCCCCCCGCTCCGAGCACAGATCTGTGCCATCTTGGGCACAAGGCTAAGTCCACGCTTCTTGGCCATGCCAAACATCCTGCCTGCCATGCCACTGACTGCATCCTCCCTGCAGCCATCCTGATCGCCCACCTGAAGCTCTCACACATGGAACTGCGTCAGATCCTCATGACGATGGAGACGGACCGCCTGGAGCCTTCCCACATCAAGCAGCTCCTGCTGTACGCCCCGGATGGGGAAGAGGTGCAGCGCTTCCAGAGCTACAAGGAGAACCCCGGCAAGCTGAGCGAGCCTGACCAGTTCGTGCTGCAGGTGCCTGCTGGAGGGAGGTGCTCTGTGCAGCATCCAGGTCATCTCACTGAGTGCTGCAGGGAAGGAGAACAGGGCAGAAAACACGCAGGGCTGTGATGCTGGGGCTGAGACTGGGGGCACCCACCACAGGGACCGTGTGAGTGGTTCCTGGGAGCTGGCAGCATTGAATGTCCCGTGGCCAAAACATGTCTCATTTTTTTGCTGCACACTAAGGAGTGACTTTGCCCAGCTCTGGCTTACTTTCTGTTGACCTGTGGGCATTGCTATAACACTCACTTTCCTACAGCATGATGCCATTTTTAAGTACAGGGAAAAATTTCAATCTTCTAGGAGGGTCTGTGGTTCAAGGACAGGAGTAATTTCCTCCTCCTTTTGCTCTCAGATGCTGTCAGTACCAGAGTACAAGATCCGACTGCGCAGCCTTCACTTTAAGACCACTCTGCAGGAGAAGACGGAGGAGATCAAAGCGAGCTATGAATGTATTTGCAAGGCCTCTCTGGAGCTGAAAAGTAGCAAGAAGCTGGCAAAGATCCTGGAGGTCAGAAGCAGCCCTGCTGTGGGGAGCAGCCCTTGGTGACCCCAGGGCTGGGCATGCTTTGCCATGCTCAGATGAGCTCAATGAGCTGCCCCAAATGATGGTGAACTCCCTCAGCTTTGCTTTCAAAAAAAAGTCAGGTGGGGTGAATACAGTGTGACAAAAGGCATTTCCAGATGAGAGATGAATTGCCATGGGCTCCTGGCCAGTGACCCCCAGTGCCTCACTAAGTGCTGGGGAGGAGATGCTGGTTGCATGGTAACAAAGAGCAAGCAGGGATCCAGAGCCCCAGGCTGGGCTCCAGGTGTTCTGAGGTCCTGTCCCTGCAGTGCCTCAGTGCTCCAAAGCCATACTGTGAAGAGTCAGATCCTTAGGGAGGGGAACAGCTCTGCTGGATTGCTGCTTTCTCTTTAAAGATCCTGTTAAGGATCCACACATAACATCTGCAAAAGGTTTTTAGGAGGGGAAGGATTTACTGGGCAGCGGGACATTCCTTACCCTGCAGACAGGGAGAGCTCAGCAGCCTCCAGAATTAACTTTGATCCTGCAAGGGATGCTGCTGAGAGACAAAATCCTATTGTGCTGAAAGTGGCAAAGGCACTGATCCAGACCAGGCCCAAGTGCTGCAGGGAGGGAAGGTGCTCCTGGACAGTGCTAAAGTAAGCTGAATTTATTGAACATCCATCTGACCCAAAAGCAGGCACCAAAGGAGATGGGCACCAAAGCAGATGGGCACTGCCTGTGCTGCTCAGTCACTGTGGTTTCTCTTTGCAGTTTGTGCTGGCCATGGGAAACTACCTGAACAACGGGCAGCCCAAGACCAGCAAAACGACAGGCTTCAAAATCAACTTCCTCACAGAGGTAAGGACACAGAGCTTACTTTTCCTCATGCAGGAGGCAGCAGTGCCAGCAGCAATGCAATGAGAGATGGGCAGCACGAAGGAGCCTCTGTGCAGCCAGAGCTGCTGGGTGCTTCCCAGACCCATTCTGCATAGGGCCTACTTCCTTGCTTTGCTTTGCTGCAGCTGAACACAACCAAGACCGTTGATGGGAAATCCACCTTCCTGCACATCCTTGCCAAATCTCTCAGCCAACACTTCCCAGAGCTTCTGGGCTTTGCCAAGGATCTTCCCACAGTGCCGCTCGCTGCCAAAGGTAATGGAACACAAACACATTTGGGAGCATCTACACAGCCTCATGGTTCATTGTGGGTGTAGGGGATAGGGTTTGGTGAATGGTTGGGTATTGGATTGGCCACGAGCTGCTCACCATTGGCATAAGCCGGGAGGAATGGTGCTGAGTGAGAGAAGGAGGATGCAAAAGCAAGAGCTTAGCAGCAGGGAGGTCCCAGCTGACCCATGCTGATGACTGCTGGCTATGTATGCTGTACGTCCACAGTCCAACCACAGGTACAGCCCAGGCTGAGGATCACAGGGCTCAGTGAGCTGCCATAAAGAAATCACAAACATCTTAGGGTCACCCTCTGCATGCTGGCACGTGGGATGACTGCAGGCAACCCTGGGGGTCCTCCTGGCACTCCATCCCCTCCTGCGTGGCAAGCAAATTCCCCTGGGAATTGGTGCTGCAGGGGATAAATAAAGATAAGATAACTCAGCCCCAGAAGTGTAAGTTTTCCCTAGATGAAGGTCTGTACTGGAAGCTTTCCCAGCTGGATTTTGCATGTGGCCTTGCTGCTGTTTAAACCCCACGGACAAGGCAGGGCAGAAGGAGATGTGCAGTGCCTGAGTTGGCAGCAGGAGGCAGCCAGAGCTGGGGAACATTGCCCACTCCTCTTCTTCTGCAGTGAACCAGAGAACACTGACAGCCGACCTGAAGGACCTTCACACCACTGTCACTGACATCCAGATGGCCTGCCACAGCATGCCAGCCACCGCCGAGGACCGATTTGCTATCGTGATGACCGTATCCTTCTGTATAAGAGGCAAGTCCCCAGCACACTTGCTGCCCTCCAGTAAAACCATTTAGTGGCCGCTGTCCTGCCTGGTAGCCATTAGAAGTGATGATGTCCATGCCAGGCCCCAGTCTGGGTTGTTTTCCTTTACGCCATCCCTCCCAGTCCTTCCTGGAGAGCGCGCAGCCCGCCATGCGCTCACTGGACGACCTGCAGCACAGGGCCATGGAGGAGTTCAGCAAGGTGCTGTCTTTCTTTGGGGAAGACTCCAAAATGACAACTTCAGAAGCTTTCTTCGGCATTTTTGCAGAATTCATGAGCAAGTTTGAGGTGAGTTGTATTTTTCAAAGGCAGTCAGAAAAGGGTTTCCTTGCAGCAGCAGCAAGCAGCAAAATGGACATTTTTCCAACACCCAATAAGTTTGAAGCTGGTGCCCGATGCAGGGGGGGGGACATTCTGCAGTGTGCTCCCCACCTCACCTGATTCTTTGCTATTTGCTCTCTCCCCACAGCGGGCGCTCACGGATGTGCAGGTTGGAGACAGCCAGCGCAGCCCCAGGATGACATCCCCCCTTGCCTGGTGACAACATGAGGCGCAAGGATTCGTTGCCAATGAAGTGCAATTTGCTCCCATTGAGTTTGGTTGTAAATAGGCTGCTGCCACCTGCCACCATCGAGCAGAACCGCAGGGGCCGGGGCAGCCTGGATGCTGAGCACACGTGTGGATGGCTGCAGATGGAGACGAGGCTGAGACACTGGTGCACAAAGGGAAACCCTGTGCTGGTTTGATGGCATCCTTCCTAGCGTCCTTCATTTCTAGTGTATCACAGAATCAAGGATTGCAGACACATCTGGGTGAAACCCCACTGCCCTGTGCTCCCATGGCACACACTGCTGGCACCAGGGCTCACTGGAGCCCTGTCACTCATCCCCACAACCACGTTCTGTGTGGTTGTGCAATGTCCCAGCCTCTCATGCAGGATGTGTCCCCAGTGTTCCCCTTGCAGGTGCAGAGCCCTGATGCCAAGTGCCCGAGCTGGAAGCACCAGGGATGGGGTACACTGTGCAGCAATGCTGTGGCAATGGGAAGAAATGAGACCTTGCAGAACCCCAGTGACACAATATGTAGTCCTAAATGAAGATCCAGGCTGGTTTTGCCCAGCTGCTCAGGGGAGCAAGAAAAGCCCCACAGCCCTTCCTGGCCATCAGCTTTGCATAAGAGTTTGTCAGTGACTGACAGAAATCTTCCCAGTAATCTGATGTCATCAGCACTAGACTTATCCGAACTCACCAGGAGCCAGGGATGCCTGAGCATTTTGGCGCCTCCTTGGAAAGCACAAAATCTTTGGTAGCTTAAAAATGAACGGGAGCCCTCTGATGCCCTGGTACTGCCCTGAGAGCAGCAGAGAGCAGCCAGAAGCACCTCGTGCCTTCTGGAACCCGCTCCCAGGGCTTGGGGATGTACAATGACTTGAGCAGGCTGTCTCAGGGGCCTGACACACACCCATCCTGCAGCAGCGGCTGTTTGCTGTAATCAAGGCAATTCCCCGCCAGATGTCCCTGGACAAAGGGCTAGCAGCACCCTGCAGTCCGTGCACGTGCCTCCAGACCACGCAGCGCCCGCCAGCTTTGCGGCACAACACCGCAGTGCGTTACACAGCGAGGCTCTGCTCGGTGCACAGCGCAGCCACTGCTGTGTGCATCCCACCCACCTGAGCCCCCCACTCGCTGACGCCTAGGTGACCCCCCATGCCGATGCCAGAGTGAGAGCTCTTACTGTGCTGAAACACACTGTTACCAACCTGTGCATTATTTATGGGAGACCTTATAACCCTCAAATCTTCTGTTTTCAATACTTTTTTTTAACCCTTCTCCCCACGTGTTTTTGGTTTATACAGCTGTAAGCGCCAGGCGGTTCCCAGCCTCGTGCTGTCAGAGCTCTTCTGTCCCCCAGTGATGGTGCAGTGCAATGCGCACCCATCTGCACTTCATGGTTTGGATGTTCTCACTGCATTCAGGTTTTGGTTTTTGGTTTTGTTTTTTTTTGTAAAAATGTATTAAAAATTCAAACCGCTGGAGGTTATTATGCAACCATCATTAAAAATGTGAAAGTGCTGTAAATAGATTTTGCTACGTGTTGTAACTTTCCAGGATAGCTAGAGCCCCGGCCTCCTTGGTGTTTTTATGTGAATATTTTCAAATTTCAAAACCCAGAACTTCTGAGATACGGTTCTATCATTTGATAATGGGACTGTGTGTATTCATGGTTCAGTATCTACCTGATGCCTATGTGCTGTTCCCAAAATAAAGCTGCTGCCTTCTGCCTCCTGGCTGCATGTACATCTCTGCTCTGTTGAAAACTGCTTTGTACAACAGCTGCAGATGGAGGTGAGAGGAATTCTGCATTTGGCACTTGTGTGGCTGCACACCTCGCTATCAGTCCCTTGACCTGCACTGGGGAGGTGCATCATCTGACCCTGCTCGTATGGGGAAAGTTACTGCAGTCATGTAGAAAAGAGCAGAATTTGTGAGCAGAATTCAAGCCAGTATGATGAATATCAGCAGCAAATTCTTAAAATAGTAGGGATTTTTTTCTGCAGCCTTCAGAAGAAAACAGCTGTGTGTGTGAGAGCCAGTGAATTGTTCCCCTCTGAAAAGGAATTCCTGGCTGCAGCTGAGGCAATGTCCTTGGGGCAATTTATCTCTCTTTATGCCACCAGCAGAGATAGGGGCTGGTCTGCTATCAGATCTCCTAGTTGCAGTTTAGCTTGTTTACAGAGGCCTGCTCCATGGCAGCTGCTCCCTGGGGGCTCTGCACAGAGCTGGCACCAACCTGTGGGCAGAAGTCAATCCTGGGCACACGCACACGCCATGCCAACAGCCTGGTGTTCCTTTAGCTGCCCCTGCAAACCGCTACAGATCGTGTCCCATAGGCAGACGTTGAGTCTGAGCCTCAGCAACACTTGCCATGTGCTCTTTGGTTTCTCCCTGATAACTCCATGTGTTAAGCAATCCTTCCCCAGCCCCATGCAGCAGGTGGGAACTCCCAGCCCTGCCCAGCCCATCCTCAGCACCACAACCTTGGCCGTGGGTCACCTTCTTGGGGAGCGTGTCCTAGGAAAGGATCCAGCTACCAGGCAGCCCTGAGGTGACCCCAGGCTGCACTTCACATGTGGGAATGCCCAGGGGGTTACACTCTTTCCTGCAAGAAATGGGGAGGATATTAAAAATGAAATGAAATGAAATGAAATGAAATGAAATGAAATAAAATAAAATAAAATAAAATAAAATAAAATAAAATAAAATAAAATAAAATAAAATAAAATAAAAAGGGTTGCTTCAGCAAAGCCATGGTGAAGTCCTGGCCACAGCTCCAGCTGGAAGACTGGCTGGGATGAACTACCACCAGGATGACCAGATGATCTCCAGAGGTCCCTTCCGACTCTGTGACTTTTCCAAGCCACGCTGGAACGTGTCTGAACGAGTCTCCTCTGTGCATTGTTAGAAGTGCCCTAAGCTGTGCTTTTTTTCCTGGACCCTGAGAGCTGCCAAAAGGACAAACTGAAGTTTCAGCTACGGAGGGGAAGGGCTGGAAGTCAGAAAGTATCACAGCTTGGAGGTAGCACAGGGCACCCAGGTGCTCGGCTCATGGCTCCCAAGGTTCTGTGTTGTTCTAACACAATTTAGGAAATCCTGGCATTTCCACATTCTAGCAGATCAAACGAAAGCACCTCGAGCCACGAGATTGGTTACATCCATCAGTGTGATCTGATCTAAAAAACAGGTTTTCCTACTTTCCTTCTGGCTTGCTTTGGGGTGCTCCTTTTCATCACTACATATTTAACTTTCCTCCGCTGTCTGTCTAGAAAAGGAAAGGTGAAAGTTGTAATTCTCATTCTAACAACATAGGTTTTAAGAGAGGTGAGGTTTCCCGAAAGGCAGCACAGAGAGCTGTGGCATGACACGACCCGCAGGCTCTGCTCAAGGGCAGCCAGCGATGGCAGTTCTGCCTGGCCGTCAGCTGCACCCATGCCTGGGTGTGAGCTGCACCCCACTTCTTGCCGCAGCCTCTCCTTTTGGAAGGTCCCTTCAGCACCATTCAGCACATTTTATTTGACTGCGAATGCTTATCCACCCTGATCTCAGAAAGGAACTCAGTCCTGGGGTTCACCTACAGGCTCGCAGACGGACCCCAGCCCACGGCTGAATCCTGCCCTTTGTGAGGCTCAGGCACGCATTCAGACGCAAGGCTGTCAGCTCCCTCCTGTGTCTTGTGGTGTCAGCCTGCGAGGACATCGGCGCTGACTTTCATTGTTACTTGTCCCTTCATGAGCTGCGCAGATTGCTTAAGAGGATGGCACTCTTTGGAGTTTGACCTATGAGCGCTGACGGTGAAAATAACTACTTCTCACCACAGCCTCAGGAGACCGAACGAGTAACTTCGGGCAATTAGTTTAACTTTGACTATAAATATTCCTCCTCGTTCCTTGTGACACTGTTAACAGCTCCGCTGGCAAATCCCCATTCTCTGGCAATATTTAAGCTGCCCGTCAGTTGGCAGAGGCTCGGTGGTGCCTAGCGCGAGGGAGCAGAATGAGACCCAGCTGAGCGCAGTAAGTCCTCCGGCTTCTACCTCGCGGTCGGGCGCTGGGCTGCGGGCGGCTGCGGGGCGGACAACCCTCGGGGGCGGCGGTCACTGTAGGAGGAATACAGAGCTGGGAAAGCCTTAAAAAATCCCCTTGCAGCGGCATTGAGAGATACAGCGCCGGCGGTGCCTCGGCACCCACGTGGCCGCGTCTCCCCGGACCATTGATAAAGGCCGGCTTCAGCGGCCGCATTTCAATGCCACGGATGTTCCTTGCTCACAATCTCTGGCGAGGAAAGCGCTGCCGCCTGTGCCAGGAACCGAGGGGGACCGCGCTGTGACCTGAATGCACAAAACGGGCAAAATTTCCACTGTGGCAGAGTGAGGATTTGAAGCCGGAGCAGCTGAGCTCACTGCATTCATCCCTGTGCTCTGTGTGGTGCCCACAGACACAGCCCAGTGTGGGACACCCCCAGCGCATCTCTGCGTTCCCTCGTTGGCAACACAGGAAACAGCTGGTGGTGCTCACATTGCAGAGGGAAAACATAAAGCCAAGCCCTGCATGGCACTGAACTCAGGTAGCTCAGTGCAGACTGTGCTGCAAGTGCACAGCACCTGATGTGGGAGGTGCTTCGGGCTGGTAAGAAATGGCAGAATGAGAGCTCAAAAGAGAAAGCGGGAGGTGGCAGAGGGGTTAGCAGCTCCCGAGGCTGGCTCACCAACGAGCATTTATCTTCTCCAAGTGTGCCAGCTCAGCCTCAGTGCCGGCCCAGACGTCTCTCCTTAGGGAGGTGCAACACCAGCACTCCTGGAAGATGCGGAGGGACCTGGGCATGTTGTAAGGCACAGGAAAGGCTCTGCAGCCCCATAGGTTGTGCTCTCACCACTCACCATTTAGAGTGTGGTTCTGAATGGGCTTTGGCACTGCAGTTCCAGGTTGTGGCTACCGCAGGGCACAACCCACCTGCTGTGTATGGCAGGGCATGGGACTGTGCCTGAAAACCACCCACTGCCCAACATTCCCATAAACGCAACCCCAGCCTGGGCTGGGGCTGATCTCAGCAGGGACACAGGACACTTTTCAGTGCTGCCCAGTGAAATTGTTGCATTTTCATCACCGGTGCATTTGCAACTTTGCCTCGATGTGTAGGGATGGTGAATGTGCTTTTGTGTATCCATTCCCACTCTGCTTTATGTCTTCACACACCTGGGCTTTATGTATCTGGCCATGTCAGCAATACCCAGGAGCAGCTGCTTGCACTTCAGACAGCTCCTTAGGCACCAGGGAAGGTGAGAGTCAAAGCTGCATTTTCTTGTATCAACAAATGGGTGAGGCCAGAGAGCATTGTGAAAGCCATGCACAAGGTACAGGCAGATGTCTCTGTGCTGTGCTGGGCGCTGGGCTCAGGGCTCAGGGGAAGAACCTGTTGGGCTGCTCCTCTCCCCAGCAGCAGGTGACACCGCCTTTCCCTGCCCCACCTTTTCCAGCATTTTGAGGTGGGAGCTTATAAGTGTCACCTTACAAGTGCAGCAGTAGCCAAGGGACCAGGCATAAGGAGCAGAAGGAGGAGTGGGCACTCGGTGTCCTGGTGGTGCTGTGGGCCCAGGGGACATCTCCTCAGCTCAGCAGGGTAATAGAGAGCAGATCCCGTTGCTGGGCAGAGTAGGGCACCCTGGGGATGTTCAGGAGCAGTCAGCAGCTTCCCCTTGTGCCAGAGTGCTGCAACCACACAGCCCATGTTTTTCAGATCTATGCCCAGAGGAAGCGCCCATCCTGCACAGAGAGCCATGGAGAGCACCAGCAGTACCCCATCATTGGCGACACCCCAGTGGGATGTGTTTCCCCAGAAGACACTGGGCGCCGTAGACATCACTATCCTCGTGCTGTACTTTGTGTTTGTCCTGGCTGTTGGGCTCTGGGTAAGCATCTAACATTCAGACTGCTGTTATATTGAAGAATATGGCTGTTTGGACTTCAGCTTATTTTACTTCGGCTTGAATCAAGCCATACTTCACTGAATTCAACTACATGAGTGGAAGGGCACAGCTGACAGGTCCTTTCCCCTACTTCAGCATGGAGAAGTGCCCTCACTGCACCGCAGGAGGGCTGTTCAGCTCCAGTGTTTGTGGAGGCACTGAGAGCACTTGTGAGGAAGAAGTCGTGTACCAAGTACTACTAATAACGTTTTGTTTATTCGGGAAGGAACTGCTGTCCCATGTATCATCTGTGTTTGTCAGCGGTGAGGTCCTGCCAGCAGGTTTTGTAAATTAAAAATAGTCCCCACGTACAATTACGGCAGCAGGACATCCTCCTGGCATGGCTTTTGCAATAGCAGAAGCACAGTCTGGCTGTCACAAGGCAAGATGAATGGCTGCTGCCTCCACATGCGATGCAGAACTCACCATTTCACATGAAAACCTTTGAGATCTCTGAAGAATGGGAGTCAACATGTAATACATGCAATGTGTAGCACTCCTCCTGATAACTGCAGGTGCCCACAGCTCTTGTCCAAAATTGCTTGCCTCACTGTGGGTTTGGAGTGAGGACAGGACAGGCTTCTGCTGGGGGAGCAGCCATGTGCTCAGTGCGGTTCTGAGCAGCAGCTGATAATGGTGATCTTTTGTTCTGCTCTTCTGCTTTCTCAGTCCATGTGGAAGACGCAGCGCAGCACGGTGAAAGGCTACTTTTTGGCTGGGGGACAGATGGCGTGGTGGCCTGTAAGTATCTTTGTTGTTATCCTGCTTGTGCTCCTAGGTTACAGTGAGACCTTTGTCCGTGCAGAATTCATTTCTCCAAAAGGAAGAAAGATGTGATCCGTGTTTTTGCAAAGACTCAGTAACAATGCTGGCTTTCTCCAAGACCAGTGCGTCTGGCTGGCACAGTGTCTCCCTGCCACCTCCCCTCTGTGCACCCCCAGCTTCCCAGGGACACAGTGCCTAAGCCCTGCCTCTCTTCCCAGGTGGGTGCATCCCTGTTTGCCAGCAATGTTGGAAGCGGGCACTTCATTGGCCTGGCAGGGTCAGGAGCTGCATCAGGAATCGCTGCAACAGCCTACGAGTGGAATGTGAGTGTGGCATGGCATGGCATGGCTCCATATGCATGGCAACCCTTCTGCTGCCTCTACCAGCTGCTGGGGGGCCTGAAGAGTCCCCAGGTCTCCATGCCCCTGAGTGCCACATGCTCTCCCCACCTGAATGCAGCCTAGAGCAGCATTTTGACCTTCCTTTCCACTTGTTTTGCAGGGCATGTTTTCTGTTTTGGTGCTGGCATGGTTATTCCTTCCCATTTACATAGCAGCAGGAGTAAGTAAACGGGCCATTGTGTCCATCAGTCACTTTCTGGCATTCAAACCCCCACGTGGCTCAGGAGCTCAGCCATGCTCAGTTGCAGCTGCACGGCTCCCAGCTGAGGCCCTTTGTGCTGCTGCCTTTCCAGCATGTCTGTCCCACACAGGTGACCACCATGCCAGAGTACCTACGGAAACGCTTTGGTGGAAAAAGAATCCAGATTTTCCTGGCGATTCTCTACTTGTTCATCTATATCTTCACCAAAATATCAGTGAGTAGGAAAAAATGGTAGGAAGTTGAATTCAAGCTGCTTTGGAAGAATGCATTACCCAGCCAGGCTGAGATCACAGAGACAGAGAATGGTTTGATTGGAAAGGACCTCTGAATGCTGTGTGGTGTCACTCCCTGCACTGAGCAGGGACACCCACAGCTCCATCAGTGCTCAGAGCCCCGTCCAGCCTGACCGTGGGTGTCTGCAGGGATGGGGCACTGCCTCTTTGCCCTTACTGCAAACAGCTTCTTCTTTAGATCCAATCTGAATCTCCCATTTGAGTTTGAAACCGTTTCTTCTTGTAGGTCTGTAGTGACAGACCCTGCTACAGTCTGTCCCCTTCTCTCTTATAGCCCTGCTTTAGGTACTGAAAAGATGATGCAATGGTTGGCCCTTCCCCAGATTAACAGAAATAGAGGTGTATTTTTAAAGTACCTGAAAAAGGTGAACTGTAGCTGTTTAGAGAAGCTACACAAAAATGATTACTTTTTTCCCTGTTAGGGATTTGAATGCTTGCTACAGTAAGGGGAAAGCTAGATGTCAACATCCTGAGCAATTACCCATTGGAAGGTTAAGCTGAGTGGATGCTCTGTTGTTAGATTTGTATGCCTGGCTGGCTTGCCCAGTTTCTTCCCTTTGCATGTTCATTTCCTGCACAAACACCTACTGCTGCTATCTGCAGGATTAACAAGAATGCAGGAGCTGGTATGTGCTCAGGCAGAAAGAGCTCCGTGATTTATTGCTGCTTCCCTTTGATGCAGTGCCTGGAATGAATAACAGGAGCAAGCCTTGCGCAACCCCGCGAGCTGCTCATTAACTGTGCAGCACTGCACGTGCTGGAGAAAGTGGAGAGGTCTCTGTCTGTGATTTTCCTGTGCACACAGGGCACAGGTGGGCCGGGAGCCTGGCGCACACCTGCCTGATCCCTGGGAGCACTGCATACTTGGGGTCCTGTGGATGCTCCTTAAGAACATCCTGTGATGCTAATCACTGCATGTCCGTTCCCTGGCATCACCAGCTTATAGGGGTTGGGTAATGTCATCTAGCAACTGCAATCATTTTTGTTCATAGGTTGATATGTACGCTGGGGCCCTCTTCATTCAGCAAGCTTTGCACTGGGACCTCTACATTGCTGTGGCAGGCCTGCTAGCAATCACTGCTGTCTACACCGTAGCAGGTGCGTGGCTGAGTTTCAGGTCAGAGCACAGCAGGTCCTGCTCAGCGTGTGCATGTAATGCACAGAACAGCCTCATGCTTCTGGTAGGAGCCCTAAATTTCACATTCTATCTGTTTTTGCCATGAGTATGGAAAACAAGGAGAACAGCAAATGGTAACTCACCTGTTAAAAAGTATTACCAGGAGTGAGTATGTGAACGCCCCTTACAAGGCCACGCCACATATGAATGCATGGCAGTCTCTCCTTTAAGAGAAGTGATGCTCGTGGCATTTGCCCAGTGCAGTTCCTCCTCTGGGCTTTTTAGAGTATGAGGGATTAACATAGCAATGAGCTGCGTAATGCAAAAAGCATTGTCAGTCCTGGGTGCCCTTTTGGGGCTTAACAGTGGCCAAATGGAACAAAGCCATGCACGGAGTGAGCACAAATCCCACACAAACAAAGGTTGCTCCTTTCCCAGCGCTCACCCCTCCTGTTGCTGCTCACAGAGATCGCCTCCACCACTGCTGTTTTTCCTCCTCCATATTCAGCCTGGGCTTTGTTTTGGAGCTTTTCCATGCATTTACCATAGAAGTATTTATACCGGACATCAGCTTCTTGGTGACAAAATGGTGATTCATTCTGATTTGCAACACGAGGTGCAGGGATGGCTGAGTGCGGGCAGAGCAGCACGGCGCTGCTCCCCGGGATGCTGCCGAGGGGGTCGGAGCAGATTCCAGCTCTGCTCTCTGCTCCCACAGGTGGTCTGGCTGCCGTCATCTACACGGATGCATTGCAGACCCTCATCATGCTGGTCGGTGCCATCAGCCTCATGGTCTTCAGTGAGTGCTCCTCCTTGCTGAGCTTACAGAAGCTTTAGCACTACAGACATGCTGGGTCATTACAAGTGTTTACTTGTTTGCTGTTCTGAGAACTGCTTTTTATGTGTTTTTTTCCCTGTAGAAATATGTGTTCATGTAATCTTATCAAGTCAAATAATCTTACAGCATTTCTTAAGTGGAAAAATGCATGAGAACTCCATGAAGAATTAAAGAAATAGGTTCTGAGGTAGTATAAAAGATGAACAAGCATCATCTCTAGCCAACAGGTTTACAGCATGATGCCATCCCCTGTCCAGCATTAAAATTGTAGAATAGATTACACTGCCATAATGTTGGGTTGGAAGGGACCTTAACAATCATCTCATTCCGACCCCCTGCCATGGATCAGTTGCCAAGCCAGTAACTCCTGATTTTAAAGAATGCTTGTGGAGGATTTACAGAGACCATAGCTATCCATCTATCGAGCAAACTAAAAACCAAGGGCACAGAAGACATGATGACTGCTTCTCATGACCTATTTTAGGCTTTGTTGAAGTCGGCGGTCTGGAAGGTCTGCAGGCAAAATACTTTGATGCCATTCCCAGCACCCGCAAGGAGAACAGCAGCTGCGGCTTGCCAAGGGAAGACGCTTTCCACATTTTCCGGGACCCTGTTAACTCCGACCTTCCCTGGCCAGGGGTGCTGGTGGGGATGACCATCCCGTCCCTGTGGTACTGGTGCACTGACCAGGTGTGTCGCTGCTTCCGCCTCGGTTGGGTTTTGAGGATGTGTTCTCGGCTGTTTGACTCCGATGGCAGACCTGAGGTGTGCAGCATAGCCTGGACTAGTCACTATTTCTGACAGCAACGCAGTAAAATGTGTTGCTTTCAATCCTCAGACTGCAAAACTGCAGAAGCACAACTAGGTTTTGTGAATTATTTCAATGTAGAAAGAGGAGAGAATGTGTCTCATTGTTAATCCCAGTCCATAAAGATGAGGCACTCTCAAACTCTTTCAGCTCTGCAGGGCTCTGATCACCTTCACCCCAGTGCTCGCTTTTCTACAGTTGCAATAGTTTAGAGAACACAATATATAAACAAACACAGCGTGCCAAAGAGCAGTGCTTGACCCAACCCCACCACCAGAGCTGGCTCTGCCTCACCCAGCAGCAGATCCAAAGTGTTTCTTCCTCTCCAGGTCATCGTTCAGAGGTCCCTTGCTGCTAAAAACCTCTCACACGCCAAGGGAGGCTCCCTGATGACCTCCTACCTGAAGATTTTGCCCCTCTTCATGATGGTGATGCCGGGCATGATCAGCCGGATCCTCTTCCCAGGTCAGTGCTGAAGGAGAGTTCTGCTCCCTCTGACAGCCGCTACAGGTTGTGTCCATTCTGTGCAGCTGAGACAGCTTTTGCAGGACATCAAGTCCCAAAGTATGACAAAACTTCCTCCCAGCTACAACTAGCAGAATGCAAATTCTCCTGCAGCAGCCTTCAGCTATACTGTTTCTTGTGACCCCTGAATATTGCTTCTCACCTGCCTTGCTTATTTCAGACCTGGTGGCTTGCGCAGAGCCAGAGATTTGTCAGAAAATCTGTGGCAACCCATCCGGCTGTTCTGATATCGCTTACCCGAAGTTGGTGATAGAGCTCCTGCCTGCAGGTGAGCAGCCTGGGCAGGAAAAGGCCAGAAAGGAAAAAACCTGCAGCTGTAATTTGGTGGGGCTACATTGGGCTAGATGGAAGTGTGGTGAGGGACAGCATACAGCAAGTGGTTATTTGGGATTTTCAGTGAGGCTGCACCGATCTTTCTGCTTCCAGGACTCAGGGGCCTGATGATGGCCGTGATGATAGCAGCCCTCATGTCCTCCCTCACATCCATCTTCAACAGTGCCAGCACCATTTTTACCATGGACCTCTGGAAACATTTCCGGCCTCGATGCTCCGAGTGGGAGCTCATGGTCATTGGCAGGTATGTCGCAAGGGATCCACGATAAGGGAGAACGGGCTGAGAGCCCCATAGTGTACAGGTTTGCTGCAGTGCTAAAGCTGAGGCCTCGTGGTTACAAGTGATCTCAGAAGGAGTTTTGTGAGATGGACAATTGGAAAAGAAACATCTGAGCTAACAATACCGACATCTTCTTGCATAGGGTCTTTGTGCTGCTACTTACGGTGGTCTCTATCCTGTGGATCCCACTGGTCCAGGCTGGCCAGGGCGGGCAGCTCTTCATTTACATCCAATCCATCAGCTCCTACCTGCAGCCCCCTGTGGCAATGGTGTTCATATTGGGCTGCTTCTGGAAGCGAGCAAATGAGAAGGTAACAGCCCCTCTAGGCAGTGCTGGACAGTCATCCCTGAGGCAAGCATTCCTGGTGCTTTTCAAAAGACATTTTGTAAGCAGTGAGAGGACTGCATTGCTTGGCTGCAAGGTGCCCTTCATAAAGCCTGAAGCTCGTTAGGGCCTTGCTTGCCATTCATTAGATGCACTTGTGTGATCTGCACCAGGGGGCCCACATATTTAAGGAGCACAGCACCGGGAATCCAAAGCCTGCAGCTCCTCACCTGGTGCTGAGTATGGGGTGTAAAGCCTTCTCAAACGTGGCTTCGCTTGGCTGAAGGGCAGTCAATAGCACCTGTGGTTAAAGCAGCCACTGGGATGCAAACACCTCTCTTGAATGGCCCTCTGGTCTCCAATACAGGGCAGACACCACACTACTGTAACAGCAGCAGCGCACCTAGATAAAACAGCACAAGTGGGAAAAGGAGGGATGGGAGGCTGCCAAACAAACAAACAGGAAGGAGAAATCCTGGCAGCTCATAGCCCTGAGTCCTGGGCGGGCTGACATTTCCTGCTCCAGCAAATAACCCTCCCTTCCCAGGGCGCGTTCTGGGGCCTGGTGCTCGGGCTGCTGATGGGCGTCATCCGGTTGGTGCTGGACTTCATCTTCCCTGAGCCCCAGTGCGGGGAGCGGGACACGCGGCCGGGCGTGCTGCGCTACATGCACTACCTCTACTTCTCCATGGTCCTGGCGGCCGTCTCCACGCTCACCGTGCTGCTTGTCAGCCTCCTGACGGAGCCCCCCTCGGAGGAAATGGTGCGTCCACCCCTCCCATTGCTTCCCTTATTGGTGAATGGATGCCTCACGTTACATCCATGGGAATGAGGCGGAGATAAATAATCTGGAAATGGGCGTTTCCACCCATTCTCAGTCCACGAAAACACTTGTAGCAACCTGTAACAGCAATCCCTCCTTTGCTCCAGCGCCCTGCTGCTTTCCTTTTAAGGTTTTGGTCCCGTATATCCACAGTTCCACCCTGGAAACAGGTCAACAGTTGATGTTACAAAGAGCTGCTCTTAAGTTCAAACGTGTGTGTTTAATGCATAACAAACTAGCTTTTTCCCTCTATTTTCCAAGAAATTCCAGATTCTGGGTCATCTTTATGAACTCTTACTAATTTAGTGAGGAACCATTTTTACTCGCAGAAAAGAGAAATCAAGGGCAGAGAGCACACTTCCTCTGGAACAGGTTTGTGCCAGTTTGACTACTTTTAATAGACATACTGAGGCTACAAAAAAACGTAAATAGCAGAAAGGAGGGCCAGAAGGGACCTTCAGAAATCGTACAGCCAATGCATCTCTTGCTTCGAGACAGGACTAACCTGGCATTTCTGAAAGACCCGTGGCGAACTCGCTCCCATAAGCCCCCAGAGGGAGGTGCCCAGGGAAGCGCACCACCAGCTCAACATCCTGCCCCTCTTTGCAGAAGTTTTTCCTCTTCTCCAACTTGAATCCTTCCAGCTTCATGTTGTGCTCATCCCTTCATGTCTGCCCTGTCACTGGTATTGAGAACACTCCTCTTTAATGAGCCTTTGACATATTTCAAGAAAATTATCCTATCTCCCATCTGTCTTTTCTTCTCTAAACAACCCCCGTCCTGTGAATCATTCCTCACTGGCCATGGTTTCCATTCTTTTGCTCCCTTCCCCGGCCCGCTCAGGCTGCATCCAGCGATACCCACGCAGTAACCAAAAGTGAAGACCTCCTTCCTTCCAAGAGCTCTCAGGCTGCAGATAAAACTAACCCAGCGCCGCTCTGCTGCCAGCAGCAGGGCACTGAGCCGTTCACCTGCTCCAGCAGAGCGGGAGGACAGACTTCAACCCCTCACAGTGTTCTCTCTGCAGGCTGCTGTACTGCTCAGGCAGTCCTTTAAGCGACCGCAAAGCAGTTTAACACCACTCTTCATGCCATCAGATAAGTCGGCTTACCTGGTTCACACGTGGGGATCCTCCAGCCAAGAAAGACCTAGCGGTCAGCACTTCTCCTGACACTGCCAAAGGAGCACGCGAAGCTGAGCGCCCAGCTCTCCAGATTGATATAAGCATTGCTTCTGAAAATAGTACAAATGATAACAAATGTAAGTGCTCCAACACCATACTCAGTAACACCCACAGTTAACAACCCTAGGCAATGTGCACCCTGAAGACAAGAACAGTTAAAACTGCTTCCTCTGGATTTCTGTATCTTCAGGGCATGCTAAAGGGTTTTACCTGACAGTTTCACCTAAGCAAAAGCTTAGTTTCTTTTCCATCTCTTGATGGCATTACATATGCTTGAAATCAAGAAGGAGCTGGATGGGATGCAGAAAGCCATGCCACTGTCCTGCATAGAGCCTAGTGCTGCCTGCACCTGCTGCAAGGAGAACTGATTGAAAGGGGAGGGTGGAGGAAAAACACAATTACTTTCATGAAATTCCATTTCTGTTTTTCAGTGATGTTTTCTGATGGACTCTAGCAGCAGGGAGAACCCAGAGCCCTGGGCGGAGCTCTTGACAGATCAGTGAAGGAGGATTTACATTTTTTAAAACTTGTGCTTGTCGGTATTAGGTACAAACATGCACAGCAACTCATTCTGCATTTTCCAGCAATGGTTACCATCACTTGTTTTTGCCAGGCTTGGGACACTGTTTATGCAACTGTGCAGCTGTGTATTCCTCTGATCTATAAAAAGCTAAGGAAAAGATCAGTAAGGTAACGAGGAAGTGAAGTGCAGATCTCTCAGTGCTGAGAAGTCTCGTTCTTGTTGCAAACTGATGCTTTGTCACACATGGCCCAATCCAGCCCAAAGCTGGGAGTATTTCCTTTCCACACATGTAATGTGGAGTAACCCTAACTGGACAAAGTATGCACGTGGCAAAGGAAGCTGGTGGGCTCCAAATACTTAGAGATGGGCTTTTAGATTGATGCTGTTACTGCTTCCTAAAATGTTGGGAAGAGCAGAGCTTGAGCTCAGATCTCCAAGGAAGAAAGAAATAGGCCATACAGCCCAAATAGATGTTATTTGAAGGGTTTCCCACACCTCAGAGTAGCTAGCGTACTTGTCTGAAGAGTGAGGATGCACTTCTGCATCAAAGACCTTTGTGCAGGGCCATACTGACATAGATCTGGGATCTGCAGTTGGTCACGCTTACTCTGTGCTGCCCCTGTAGGTCCGACTGGCACCAAGAAGGACTCAAAGCTGGTGAGAACCCTCCTGTGGCTCTGTGGGATGGAACGCAGACAGGAGAACCCTGAGGACGTGGCGCCAGCCAAACCCGAGTGTCCCATGGCTTCCCTGGAGGAGAACCCACTGGTGAAGCACGTCCTGAACATCAACTTGATACTGAGCATATGTGCAGGGGTCTTCCTCTGGGCCTACTTCGCATAGCAGTCCGCCGCTTGATCCCAGATGACATCAACTAATGTTAATTGGTGTAAATAATAATAATTAGCAGAGGGTTAATGTAACTCATAGTGCTTTCTAAGTTTTATTTAAGAAGACAGACCCTTCTCCTTAACACATCCCTCATTTCACCTCTAGCAGCGCTCGGCACAGACCTGAGCTGGATGCATGAAGCTGAGCACAACGAGCTGAGGCGGGAGCGCAGTGTTGGTTATTCCAAGTATATAATTATGCTTTTTGGGGTTAAAGCACTACCTGGCACTTAGGACATCTGGATTCTGTTCCTATTTAACGTGTAACCATACATAAGACACGCTGCTTCCCTGCGCTGTAGCCCCTGTAACCGCCAGGGTGCACAACTGACCTCGGGGCACGGCTTACAGCCTGGATTCCCGTATCCACGCCACTCAGCCGAGGCGCAGCGATGGGACGATTGAGCCCAGTGGCACACACTCCTCCAGGGTGGGCAGGGAACGGGCGGTGCAGCGCGGTTAAAGCCTTCCGCCAGGAGAACGGATGTGCTTGGAGGCGCAGCTCGTCCTCGAGAGGAGAAACGTGGCCGGGCTGTGCCGCCGACGCGTTCAGCTCGGTATTCAACCCATCCCCAGGGCCTCGTGTGGCTGCCGGAACTCGCAGCACCTGCCCGAGCCGGAGGCGTGGCCCTGGCGCGCGGCACAACGGCCGTTCCCCGGCTCCGCGAGCGCAGCGCGGCCCCCACCGGCGGCTCCCGGCGCAGGGCCCGGCCATGGAGGAGGAGACGGGAGCGGCCGTGCGACGCGGCTGTCCGGAGCCGCTGGAGTTGGAGCGGAGGAACCTCCTGTCCGTGCGGCGGCGGCGGCTGCGCCGAACCCTGCAGGTGGGCGGGCGGCGGGCCGGGCTGCGGCGGCGGCGGCGGCTTTTGTGGTGAGCTGTGCGCACTGTGCTCTGCCCGCAGTGCCGCGTCCCGCTGCAGCGGCTGTTGGTCGTGGCCCGACTCCGCGAGGAGGTGACGGAGGAGGAGGTGGCAGGTGGGTGGCTCTGCCTGTGAGGAGCATTAAGGGAGTTGGGTTTTGTTTGTTTTGTTTTGTTTGTTTTCCCAGAGCGTTTGTATGAGCTGGTGCCAATATCGGGGAGAGGCTGTGCTACGTGCATCCACAGCAACAACGGTGTAGCTGCACCTCTGGAGTAAAGGAGTAGCACAGGGTGCCCAGAGAAGTGGCGGTGCCCCAACCCTGCGCACAGCCGTGGTCAGGCTGGACGGGGCTCTGAGCACTGATGGAGCTGTGGGTGTCCCTGCACAGTGCAGGGAGTGGCACCACGTGGCATTCAGAGCTCCCTTCCAACTCGTGATTTTGTGATTCAATGAATGCCAACAGGAATTGGACTCCAGCTACACCTAGTAGTGAGGTTTGGGTGAAGATTTAGGAGCTGACACAAATTGTAGTGCTGCATGCTTCAAGAAGCAATCTGCATGTTCCTGTTAAAGTGATACTTTAATGCTTCTGAATAAAAAAAGCGTAATTTGTAAATCTGAGCAGGCAGGACAGAGAACTGACCTGCTGGAATTCTCATTGTGGGCGTTGTAACAAACTACTTCTTTTGAAACAAGGTTATCACAGAGAATTGTTTGAAGACGCGTCAGAATACCACACAAGAGAACGAGTTTCAGGGCTGCTGCTTCTCAGTTCCGGACATGTTCTTCATGCAGTGGAAGTAAGTTAAAGGAATTCCCAGAGGGATCCAACGGCCTCAATTCAGCTTTGTACAAACGAGGCTGTTCAGATGCAGCTGACTGCAAACATGTGACCGCCTCTGACTCCCACTGGTTTAAAGTGAGAACTAAGGGCTGAGGGGTGTGGAGTCGGCAGCTTTCCTCTGGAATTTGCTGCCCCCTGTACTGAAGCGAACTGTCCCAGAGCAGGGAGGGATGTGACAGCATGAAGTGCTGTCAGGCACGATGGGAACATGCTTTGTCCTCAGAGCGTGGGTCTCAAAGGCAAGGACTATTTACAGGATGGATACTGAAGAATTACTTTTTATTCAGATAGTATTTTATGATATGCAATTTCATAAAAACTCTACCCTTTCCTCTGCAGTCTTGCAGTAGCACAATACATTTTCTCATCCGAGCTCTTGCTTCTCTCCAAAATCAGGGTCCTAGGTGAGTGGTTTCCATTACCTTTGCTGAAAAATAAATTGTAACAGAAGTGGTAGGCAGCTCCTTTCAGGTTAATCAGAACGTTAGGTACAATTACACTGACTTTTCATTCTCCTTCTGAGTGCCGTGGGCCCAGTAGCATCCCATACCTCCATTTGCTCACTAAATCCCGCCTGCTTTTCTGCTCATTTCTTACCCTCCCATCCACCAGTCTGCTCAGACCCTTGCACAGCTGTTAGAGCACAACTGGAAAAAAGTTTCTGTTGGATGATCCGCTTCGCCCAAGGGCCAGGGTGGAAGGTGTGCAACATGTGCAGCACGTTGTGCTCAGGAAACACTGAGTGCAGATCGCGCGTTGCTTGGGTTATGAAACATGAATGTGATGATACAAACTGCTTGCTGTTCTCAAGGGCAGAATTCACTCCCTTTCCGCTCAGTGCTCTTCTCCAGGAAATCAAAGCCCTGGTGGTGGCACACAACATCCCGAGCAGGCTGTTCACGAGGTGGGATGTGGCAGTGGTGACGTCTCCTGCGACACATCCAGAAGACTCAACGCAATCACAGTCTATAGAAGAGGTGGTCGCAGAGTGTCTTACGCTCCTGGTCAACGTGGCAGACTATGTGCTAAAATCTGCTGAGGTAAAGTTCAGTTTCCCTCCCCCAGCCCTGCACTCCCCCACACCATTCAGCAGCCGCAGAGTCCAGAGCTCAGAGGATTCTGGAGGCAGCGTGGAAGCATCACAGAAAGTCATTGCTTTATTCTGCGCTGCTTCTCAGACCTGTGTCTGCCTGTTTTGTGTGGTTGTTTGAGTGAGATCATTTGAGATCATTCACAGCACTGCCACAGGCTTGTGTCCCATGAGTGCCTCTCCTGGGCTTTGTCCCTGAGCGCTCCCAAAGGACAGAGGAATGGGGAGCAGCTCCAGCCCTGCTGCTTAGGTAACCTGTAGCCCTGTGTCCTTGCTGCACCTGCATCAAAATGCTCTTTGTTCCACAGGGTGACAGCAAGGCCAGCAGTGACAGTCTGCACACTCTTGCCCCTGAGCTGCTCATCCCAGCAGAGACTATTGGCTACTTGTGTAAAGCTGAAGAATGTTCAAGCCCTGTAGATTTTCTGAGAATGTATTTGAGTCCTATTCAGCCTGCCCTGGATTCAGGTATGTTGCACGCAGTTTGGGGGACAGACATCAAATTTAATCACACAGCTAGAATCTTGACTTGTACCACTGAACTTAGAGTTTGGAAAACTTGTTCCAGTGGCAGAGCAAGGACCTAGAGCAGGGAGCATCCTTCCTGCCACAGGACACCCGAGCAGAAGGAACTGGGCAGCTGTGGGGGTTTCAGGCTGCAGCAGCAGAGAGTGACCAAAATATTGGAGCATGTCAGCAAGTGCAATGCATCCTCTACGGAATGCAGTTTGATTTTGCAGTGAGGCTTTAGGTCTAGTTTAGTAACCTGAATGAAATGTATTATGGAACATGATGGAATTTATAGCTTAACTAAATTAGTCCAGTGAGTTATGTGACTATTGCTGTTACTTGTTCTCCTTTCATTCACAGAAGCTGTATGGCCCGTTCCCTTGCACTTATCTGCTTGATGCAGTGTGTTCCCAGTGCTTCTTCTTGCACTCTCCTGCTTCACACGAATTCCAACACAAAGATGCATGGTTTCCATTGCAGTCCATGAGGCAGGAGGAGCTGAGCAGCAGCAGCCCCGCAGCTGCAGAGCCCAGGGATAACTGCACTGCTGTGGGTGTGGAACTGCCATCTCATGGGCTGCAGAAGTGGCCACATTAGTGATGCACTTGAATAAATATACCTTAAGTTGACAAAAGACGATCTTTAAGTTTATTATGGAGATGCCTGGAACCCCAGGGGGATGATAGGGCTGAACAGCACCAGGCCTGGACCCTGGCATGACTGTGCACTGAGGACTGCACCCAGCAGAGTCCCTGTGTATCCTCAGGCTGGGCTGAGGGTGCTGCTGCTCCCTGGAACAGTGGGCAGCAGCTGCTGGGGTTCAACTGCCATCCTCAGCCTGGCGCTGCCCAGGGAGCACCCAGAGCAAACACAAGAAATGAGGCATCCACCAGCAGGCAGAGCTCCTGCTGCCAGCTCCACATGCACACAGCAGCTGGGCACAGGAGCTGCATCTGGGGGTGCTGTGGCCCCACCATTCCCCAGGGTCCACATTTCCAGCTCTGTCCCTGCAGTTCTAATCCTGATGCTGTTCACTCCAAGAGCTCTGGCTTCCCACAGCTCTGCTGGCGGCAGCATTTCTACCTCTGCCCACATGCCACGTTCACCCCCAGATCCAACATTTCAGCTCACGACCTGTGCCTCATGTCAAGATCTGTATTTCCAGGGCACGCCTTGCATTTCGGTTTCAGATCTGCCCCATCTTACAGATGCTGCACAGTCTGTGGAAGAGGAGCTCTACCTTCCGACAGCTCCAGCTGCTGGATGTGCCATCTGCTTGCACGTTTACTTTGGCTCAGTTCTGGAAAGGTGTAACTCACGGTGTGTGTGTCACCTCCAGGAGTTGGATACTCAAGCAAAGCAGCTCTCTGGCTTTGCACTGCACTGTCTGAAAGTGAAGTTTTCACACCTTGTGCCCAATATTTTCTCCAAGAATCTTCCAACTTGTCGTCTCTGTTTCAGATCCAGCTCAGCTCCATCAGATCCAGGCAGGAAATGCTCCAGCAGATGGATGTGCCTTCATGCCTGCGCTGTGGGCTTCAGCAGCAGTTCTGCACTGTCAACCCTTGCCCCATGTTTCCCACTCAAGCTTTATTTCCAGCTCACATCCCATTATTTCAGCTCCTGTCCTATTTCCCCTGTGAGATTTTGTAAGTAACCCACACCAGTGATTTCAGCTCTGTGGATTCTGCTCACATCTTTATTCT